ACATTTTCTATCTTGCTCACTTTTGTGAATATACCAAACATCTTGAGGAATAAAATACCCCAAGGATGATGACCACAGGTATTGGAAGGGCTGATTAAATTCCGATGGTTTAAATTCACAAAGGTAAATTTTGAATAAAGCACAGGACATTTTTAGTAGGAATGTGAGAACAATAACTCACAAAGCTTTTGACAATTTAATGTATGTATCACATCTCACTCCTATGCAGAAGAGAACACCTAAAAGTTGTAGATGCCTGTGGTTGTAAAAGAGTGGCAAAAGCCAAAATGGTTCAGAAAAAAAAAGCTCACAAATTTTTATTAACAAACTACACACTTGGCGTGGAAATTGGCATATGTTTGCCCCTATCTTCTAATAATAAGAGTAATAAAAGAACAGCTGAGAAGGTGTCCAATGTCCTTGTGGTGCCACCCAGGCTTTGGAGGGATACTTTTTTATAGGTGAGTTTTCCCCACCCTGGGATTAAGTTTCTCACTCTTCACGTAAATGAGTCATCACACACAATCCGTTCTTCTGGACTTTTACAGAAATGGGTTGGGGGACTTTGAGGGTCTTTTGATGGTCTTGATCACCCCCTCAGTTGACAGTCTGTGCCTTACTGCCCAGGCTTCTACATATGTCAAACATTGTAGCTTCAAATGCACATTCAAAAAATGCCTAGCTGTAAACATTGTATTTTCTGTTGCTAGGTTTTCTGCTGGATCTACTCCACTCTTGGAAATTCAAAACAAAAGCTAGAGGAAAAAACACCACATACATGTCATTAGCCCTGCAATTTTCTCTGTATCTACATTACATGACTAAACATGCAATATGTGTTGTAATACAACCTGTTCATACAGGACACAGTACTATATTAAATATTAAACTCATATTTAACATTATCTCTCCCTGAAAATAAACATTACAGTTGACAGAATCAGATTAGAAACATCAAGAAAATCACCAAACTTTATTTGGAAAGCCTGCTCCAACAACTGACAAATTCTATAAAATAGAATAAGCAGTCCCTACTATTTGTACCATTTATATGGGGTAGCATTTGGCAAAGAAGTGATGTATGTATTCATGTAGCTATAAATGCTGCCAGGAACGTGACTGCTTAATTAGTACAGATTAAACATTTAGCAGCAAAGAACAAAAGCAAGATCTCATTTGTAACTGTAAATGAAAAAATTGGTAACTCAAAGCGTCTTTGAAATGCAAAAATAAGTCACTGATTCTTTGTAAAATTGTTCTGCAATATGTACACAAACGATATGATAGCAGTCAGGAAGGCTTTTCATTTGAATAAGTACTGAAAATTCTTCATAAAGGATTAATACTATCTCTGCCAATGGTTAGAAAACAAATTTCTTTTAGTGCATACTCTACACGTCTTTTCTTTCTTGTCAATTTAAAGCTTGCTTAAAAAAGGACAGTCTTGGCTATAAAAGCAATGTGTTGGAATGTGTTCCACTATGATTGACCTGTTCTTGTTTTTTTGGCAACTTGGCTAAAGTATTTTCATCAAACTTTATGATTTTATATAATTTGAAGTAATAAACCACGACACAGCCCCAAAGTGATGACCTTAGATAATTTCTTCTCTCTAAAAATGCATCACTTTAACTGTTACAGATTTTAACTGTGAAATTATTTCAATTTTCCCAGCTTTTTGGCAGTGTAAACATACTTTGAGGCATGTTTTTTTCCCATCTGTGCTTTCATATTTATATTTACTTTATTCCAAAATACATGCAAGCCAACTTCGTACACAAAAGATAGAATGTTTTATAAAAAAATCCCACCAAAAAATCACTGAAATGCTATCAAATATTCATTCTTTCAAAAGTGAATGTATTAATACCTCTTTTCCTCTCCCCTGTAATTGCCTTAAGTTAGGACTCATTGATTGACTTACTCCCTCAAAAACAGAATTTCTGAAGGAAGATGCATCACTAATAGTCAGCTATTAGGTTTTGACAATTTCTTTGTCCGAAATAACCATCATGTAATCAAGGTTACGACATATCAACACAATTCTTACATGCCAAATATTATTTGAATTAAAAGGAGATTAAACATTATCTTCCCATAACTAGCTACGTGGCAAAGGAGAAATCTAGCCAATAATTGCTGCTGCACCCTCCAAATTGGAGCAAAATATTGAAGATGACAGACATGCTGTTCAAACCAAACTGCCAAACTTCCCAACTGACAGATGGGGACAGCAGCATTCATTCCTGTGTCTTTCCCTCCTTTAAACGACTCAGCCTATTCTTCTCTCTTCAGCAATTTCTGAGTGTGCTACTGCTTACAAAGGAAGGAGGCTCCTTTGCAGGAACTGATGAATGGTACTCTACAAAGAAATGTGCCACAAAGAACTGCAGTCTGGCAAAATGGCTGCTAATCCTCAATGTTGTCAATGAAGCTCAGCTGTGGTTGTGGGAACTGGAGCCTGAATTAAAATGTTCTTCCACCTCCCTCTCAGGGAAAGCTGAGGGTCTTGCTTTCTGAGAGTATGCAATGGGAACGTTCTGCTCTCACTAAGGTCAGTGGGAGATGGTGGGCATTTTGGATGAACATCATTCTTTGAAGAGAGATGAAAGCACCTGCCACTTAAAAAAAATTAGGAAATATAGTTGTAAAAAGTCCTGCTTTCTACAGTTTTGCATTTTATGATGAAGAGAGGGTGGAATATAAGCAAAGGGATGAGTGCGTATCTTGGTTCAGGTCAGGAAAAGAGATTTTATGATATGTACATGCAGAGAATGTACAAAAGTGGGAGAGGACTGGTGAATATGAAGTAAAAAACAGAAGGGATTTATGTAATCATGCTTTGTAGGACTTTTAGGGAAAAAAAACACAAGAAGCTCCAAAGCCACTTAATAGGTCAATATAATTTTGATGTTTCATGTCACTCGAAATTAGAATAAATAAGTCAGATAATGAAACTGGCTTTAAATCTTAATATAAATCCCTTTTGGTGTTCATATTTCGTGCTTTCAAGTAAGCACAGATACCATATTCCCTAAGTTACTTATTTAATATTTTTAAGTTGAAAAACAGATGTGAAGACGTAACCATTAAACTGGAATCAAGAGAATACTTCAATGATTTAGAATTCACCACATCAATGAGATTATTTGAAAGAGGTCAGATACTTGGAGATATGCTTATACTTACAGATACTCAAATAAGATAAATTATGAAAATGCAGATCTGTGTGTATAAACAACTTCTTGCTAAAGTTGCAAGCATGGTGACAAGGGGTATAAAAATCTGGCAACCAGAACCACCAGATGCCTTAAATTGTAATCACAGGTTTTGCATACTGTAATCAGAGCAACCTTACAGCTGTGCGTTTGAAATGGGCAATTCCCTAAGCCTACCACAAAATGTTTACCTTACCTTTAAGCCCAGAATTAACTCATTTTTTAGTTGTGTGTTTTGGAGTAACTCAGCGATAACAATTTCAAAGAAGTCATGCAGTTCCGTAATCCTGTATGCGGAGATGACTTTGCTGAGATTCTCATCTGATCTCTAGTGAAAAAGGATCATTCTGATCTCTAGTGAAAAAGGAATCAACCTTGAAGAGTGAGTTTTAATATCCACAACTATTTCATAAAAGAATCAAAGCTCATGAACAGTCTATCTTTGTTGATCTATTCATTGCTGTCTTTCTTTTTACTTTTTGTGGGCCTTTTTTTCTAAATTAAAGATGATGCAATATTTTCAATGCTTTCTCATACAGTAGCTCTTTGATACCTGAGATGTCTCACTCTTTCTTTTTTTTTCCTCTGTATGTCCTTTTTTCCCCCCCATGGTTTGATAGAATATGAAATCATAAGATGTTTTTCCTCACTGATACGGAAAGTAGCCATGCAGTAACGTTTAAAGTTTCTCCTTACTACAAGCCATCATTCATATCAAGATAGCATTATCAAAATAATATTTTCAAAAATTCAAGATATCAATCTGTTTTACCATTTTACTTAGATTAGGAATTGGTCATGTGTTATAATTTGTGCTTAACGACATTAGCTATTTGTTATTAGCTAGTATCCTCTTTGTAGGTACAGCATGAAATTCAAAATTTATTATGGATCTCTTGTTAGAACAGTGTTGAAGTAGAACTTTGATTCTAGAAATTTCTGGAAATTTCACCAGTCAATGGTTTGAGTTCAAACATAAGCCATGAAAGAAATATGAAGTATTAGCAATGTTACTGAGAAAATGATATTAAAGAAGTGTGGACAAAAATCAGACTGCTTTTTGATAATCCAGACAGGTGGAAGGAGACATATATAAGGTTACTTTAATTTTATCCTTGCTACTTATTTTCTTCTTGCTTTCCTTGAAAGCTGGGTACTCTGTTATAAAATGACTACTAAAAAAGCCCAATTACAGAAATTACTTCAAAATCAAGTATTTTAAACAACTTTTGCATTCCTAAATCCTAAGCATTTAAAGTATTTATAGGTTTTTCTATGGTTTCATGTCTTTATTTGAAATTCTCTCTGACAAAAATGTGCATGTAAGAGTTTTAAATGACATCTGACCTCTTCTCTGACTACTAGTCATGTGATGAAAAATGCTTTTGAAAATATTTAACTGTAAATACAGGAAGATGACTAAACTCTTAAACTTTTGTCTTCTAAAAAATTCCCATCGCTGCCAAAGCTGGTGAAGCTCCTCTGATAGTGGGAGCACTAAGGCAGAAAATCTTCCAAGTGCCCACAAGCATTCTTACCACTGTACCTTCTATCTACCACTGCAAATCTCTGTTCCTTCCCTTAGAAAATGAGTGGCCACACATTCCTTATCACATTTGCCCTTCCTCTCACAGAACTTAACATTGGGAAGCTTCACATAAATACAGAACAAGGACAAGGAACAAATTTGTTCAGCAAGGCAGCAAGCAGGCTTACTGTACTACCTCCCTTTCCAACATTTTAAAGAATGCAACTATCTTCTCTCTTTCCTTTCCCATGTAGCTTGAGAATTACATCCAAGACAGTATGAAGAAAGAAATGGTAGAGATCCAGCAAACTGCAGTGCAGAACCAGACTGCAGTAATGATTGAAATAGGCACAAACTTACTAAATCAAACAGCTGAACAGACCCGCAAATTAACAGATGTTGAAGCACAAGTAAGTAATGAATTTCAACCTAAAAATGCTTCTGCTTCCCAAATACTACAACTATACATTTAACACCGTTTATTGTTACACTATTTAGTTCAACAATTACAAGTCAATCACCAAGAGCTCCACCCAGCCTAAGAATACATTAGTATTTGATAATACCTAGTTCCATCTCAAGCCCAGTGTTGTCACCTGAGTGATTTCCTTTACAGCAGGATTTGAAGTAAGTCCAGCAAGATAACTGTTACATTAATCTTTAAACGGAATGTACTTAAAACTACTATACTATACCTAAGCATCAGTTGGGTCCTAGTGTGCTTTCATACAACCTTCATTGTATATCTCTGTTGATTATTCACCACTTTAGCTAAAAGAAAGTTCCTTCAAACTGCCTTTGCTCCATTTACCAGGTTCATTGCTTCTTAAAATGGAAACTTTTCTATTTTTTTTAACTTGTCAAGAAAAATGTGTCTTTTTAATGAATGCTTTCACAGATACTCTAAGTGGTTCCAGCACAATGCACTGTATTGTGGATAACAGAGGGATACATAAACAAATCTGAGATAAATCAAGAAAAAAGAAATTAGAAGGCTTCTAGAAAAGCATATTCACACAAAAGTAAACCTGCCTGCTGTACATATTACTTGCTAACTTACTTTAAAAAAAAGGGTTTATCTTTAATTATGGTTTAATTGAAAAACATTAACATTCTGTTAAACAGAATGCAGATATTAATAGGAGGACAAGTCCAATCAATGTAGAATGGCATGCATTTGTATTTTTGCAGACATGGTGGGAAAATTCAGATATATAACTGCCAAAACACATAATGAACATAGCATGCAGCACATAACATTTTATATAATATAAATAGCATACAAAATCTAAAATCCTTGTTAGACATTTTACTATCTGTAGAATTCATCCAATGAATAAAATTCCACTTTTTAACAAGTCTTTGTGAATTCTTTGATAAACTGATAGTTCATAGCTCACAGAGGTACTGAATTTAACTTTCTGATTGCATTATTCAGGAGCCTAATATTTTGCACATGTTGAGAGAATGTATTTATTCATTCACTGTAATGTCTTTATGGAAATTACTCAATTATTTTCTGCTTAGAGGAAGAAAATCCTGACTGTAACTTTCCTTCTCTGCTTGAAATTACTGGTGACTGGGTTTAAGGCTTAATTAGCAACATAAGGAAATTAACAAACAATTGCTCTCTCAAGGACACTTACTTCTGGCAATAGTTTTCAATTACACTTAAGTGTGAAATCATGTCCTGAATGACTGTTTAACATGAAGGACATGAGTAATCAATTCTTCCTGTCAAGGAAAGCCAAATTCTGTTGAATTAAAAAAAGCTGTTCTAAAACAATGAGAAAATATTTCTAGAAAACATGCCTCAAAGTAATGCAATCCCATACAGACCGAACACTATCTTCCATGTTTCCTAGTATCTGTATCTCTTGATTTAAAGATGCAAGTAAAGTGTAAACAATACATTTAGAAAAGGTAACATTAAAATGGAAAGAATGAATTGACAAGAGTGTGGTTCACATGAAAAACATTTAAAAATATAATTTGGGATTGAGAAAAATAGCTAGGAGGGAACTATCAAGTGATTTTAGGACTAGGCCAAGATTTCAGCAAGTGAGAGAGTACATACTTTCTACACCAGACTGAGATAACAACTCAACTCATTCTTTGAGCAACAACCATAACAGTTCCAGTAATGAAGTAAGAATTATCATAACAGAGGGGAAGTTATAACAGCAAAGCTAAAGTACACAGTAACTCTCATCCATTGATCAGAAATGTAGCAGAATACTTAAATATTCCCACTCATATATGGTATCGTAATAATAAAATTAGTGCAACTATGCGTATTCTTCTTCATTCTGATTCCATGAACATTTGTGCCCACATTAAGTGTTGAAAAATATATATTTTTTAATCATAAGCTTAAGAAGAGATTTGCATGATTTCAGAACATAAAAAAATTAACATAACAAAATTAAAATTTATATAAGAGAAGTATCTTAATTGTCAAATTTTTTTTGTAAATTTTATTTAGGTATTAAACCAGACAACCAGACTTGAACTTCAGCTTTTGGAACACTCTCTTTCAACAAACAAACTTGAAAGACAGATTTCAGATCAGACCAATGAGATAACAAAATTACAAGAAAAAAACAGGTAAGTTTGCCTATCAGCCCAATGAAATGCTATTCCCTGAAGTGCCCTTCTAATAGTTTTAGAAACAAATGTACTGAAGTAGGAAAATAAGCCCTGGTACACAAGCTCCCCACACCCAGCTATGCTCATTACAAAGGTCATATATTATTTAAAGCCTAGCAGATCATGCAGGTTTCTTCTTGTATTCTCTTTATATATCATTTTTCACTATTTAAAGTTCTCCTTTATTTAAGGAACTTAAGGCTAAAACTGCAGGACTTCTCAGTACGTCAGTTGTAGCCAATTTATATTCTTCTTTAGTCTGATCAAGATGAAGTTATCAGTAACCTGATTCAAACTAACTGAGTGCAACCACATCTCCAAAATTTTATTTCCAAGTAGTACACAGCTATCCTAATGAACAACCAGGTCATGGCCGCAACTTTTTTCTAACATGAGAAAAATAAAACACTAATCACATTCAATGTTCCTTACTAGTCAATGTTTGAAATTCAGACCAATATCCAACTGTTATTCTTATCCTTTTCTGTACTCAGCTGTGGTCCAAAGGCTCATACCTTTTTTCAGCTGGTTTTGTTTCCATATCACCAGGGTCTTATTTTACTTTTGGCAATAAATAGTTTACAGAGAAATTTAAAAGCAGCAATAACAGTAAGTTGTCTCCTTCAAAACTGTGTTTTTTGATGAGAACCATATGTGCAAAGTGCTTTTTATTTTGAAAGAATTAGCTTAAAAAACCCATGAGACATGTTTTGACATTTTTGTTCACTAGTCTACTACACTTACATATGCTCCCTAAAGGTTTATCTACCAGCTTAAGAAGAGCAAGCATCCTTATCAAATGGAAAGCGAAGGAAATACTGAATTTTAAAGGTCACTTTTCTTTGGTGTTGAACTCAGCAGATCTTAGACTACTCTTGTAACATCTATGTAAACACAAAAGCATTGTTTCTCACCTAACAAAAGGCAATGTGACTTTGAGCTAATCTGCTTGAAACATAAGATTCAGGATTTTTTTTTCAATAATAGCAATAGATTTTAGGTGAACTTCTGTCTTCTGGCCATGCACTTTTTAACATCAGCTTTCTCAGTGTCTGCATCAGAACAATTAGCAGTGAAATAATGTTCCATCCAGAGACCTAATCATACCAGCTCCAGAACTGGAGATGGCTAACACATCTTCAAGTAACTATTTGCACGTTTCCCTGTCTTAATGCTATAACATTTATTCATATTAAGTATATATTTTAATTATAGGATGTTTGAAAAGTTCACAGTTTCATCTGTTTGAAGATGAGAATAAGTTTCATCTTTTAATAGGGTAAATCCATGAAATCTTAGTCACTATATCTTTACTTTAATAATGCTGAATTATCAAACACCCAAAAAGCCTGCAATACAGACTATAGCAGACAATGTTTTTTATTAATGCACCTATATAATAAATTAAAGCATATGTATGAAACTAAACTTTCATTTAGTCATCTACTGCAGATATGGCATCAGAGAATGAAATTGAGTACTTATGAAGAAAGAAACTTCTACAACAGGCTTGACATCAGTTCAAAATTGTTTCTGGGGAGCCTAATTGTAATCTTTTATTTAGCTTTCTAGAAAAAAGAGTTCTTGAGATGGAAGACAAGCACACACTTCAGCTGAAGTCAATAAAAGATGAAAAAGATCAGCTTCAAGTCCTAGTATCGAGACAGAATTCTATTATAGAAGAACTAGAAAAACAGTTAGTTACAGCTACAGTAAACAACTCAGTTCTGCAAAAACAACAACATGATCTGATGGAGACCGTTCATAACTTGCTTACTATGATATCTACACCAAACTGTAAGTTAAAGCAGATATGCTTATATGATTTCTGTGCTATTTTCTAATTTATGTACATTATTACCTATAAAGTCTTACACCTAGTTCTGTCACACTTCTGCTTCTCAAAAAGTCTGTATTTTTTTGCCTGAGTTGATTAACCTACTTTTTAGGGGAGTAGGGGAAACAAACACATCATTTATGTGGTTTCTTTTCAACATTTTGTTCATCTTCTGTGGTTTACATTGGTTTGCCTGCCCACTTCTCCAGTGGTTCAACAAAATAGAGAGATGCCAAGTGTCATTCATCTCACATAGCATTCATTTGTGTGGCAATATACCAATTGACCAATCTAGGTTAGACTGCATGATGTAGGCCTGCAACATTTCTTCCTGGCTCACACAGGTTGTTTCTGCCACCTCTCATCGCTTTATGCACATAGAGTTCATCAAAGAAAGGACAAATTATAGTGGCTGCTAAAGGCAAAGGAATCAGCACAGGCATAGTTTTTACCCCCAACAACAGAAAGCAGCAGCCCAGGCCAACAGGTACTCCCAAAAGTCCTCCACTGAAGTTTCCTTGGTCATCCTAAAAATCCCTCAGCCTAGCAAATTTATAGGCAAGAATCTCACCCCTAATTGCCTGAAAACCCTGCAACAAATTATAGCCACAGAGCGCAGCTTCCAAATTTGTGCAGGTTCACACGCTCCATAGAAAACCCCACACAAACCACAAAGTTATGGCTACACGAGATTTAAACGTTCCTTGCCTTGAATTTTATGTCTGATATGGAACCTGGACAAATTAAGAAGGTATAGTTGTTCCATAAAAAAGACTGTAGAATCTGGCACATTTGCCCATAAAGTTCTCAGGGCTTAAAATATACACACATACAGAACCCCTAAAAAATGATTTAAAATTAAATACCAGAAAAAAATTTTAAAAGTTGTCATTACACCATAGAAGACAGTATAGGTAGTCTGTGTTACATTACTGCAAGTTAGATCACAGAAAAGGAAAAGACTGTTCGGAAGTCCTTACTTTCAGTAGTATCCTAAATAATATGATGTTGTAGGTTTTTCTAAACAAAGTAAATCCCAAGTTTTTTTGTCTTGATAACTGACGCTATCCCCTTAAATGCCATTACCAAGGCTGTACATGTTCCTGCTGATGTTATCTGCTATGCTAGTGCACAAATAAGTAAACAAGTCAAAGCCATGTTGGCTACAGCACTGTTAAACCCAGAGTGGAAAAAATAATGAATGTTTGCCAAAAAGACAAAATTAGCAGGGAAAGCTTCTAAGACAGTATACAAACAATAGAGTGTGGAAAAGCAATTAAAACACTGAATGTGTTATTTTTATATGTAAGGCAAAACACTTAAACAGGTACATAATGAATAAGCAAGCTAAAACCAACATAATAAGCAACTGTAATATAAGCATGTATTTATATGGCACCTAAACCTTTGTAGTAAGTGACTGCGCTTTTTAGATTTAATTAAAAGGGAAAACACACGGAACCAACCCCAAAAGGTTCAAATATGAAATATCAGTCAGCAGGCAAAATGCCAGGAAATTCCAACCTCCATAGTTATAAAGTACTGAACGAAAAGATGAACCTTAGATTGTTCTGTAGAATAAGAAGGCTTAGACATATGAAAATGTATTTTTGCACAAATCAATTCCAGAAGGGATGTCTCTTCAGTGGGTTGGGCTGAGCTGCCAAGCTTCAGTTTGGTACATATAAACTTGTTCCTGCTAGGCACAGGGGCAAAGAAAAATATCTAAAATCTTTGTAAGAGTAGTTCCACCAGTCTGCTGTATTATAAAAGATTTCATAACTCTTACATTGAATTTTACAATATTAGAGTACTGCCCAAAAGTGATTCTTAATATAATCACTTGCTAGTTAAGTATTTATGTAGTAATAGTTAATGAGCACATAGGTTGTAATACACGTAAGAGTCCAGCAAAGGCAATGAGTGGAAGCAGAAACTGTTTAACTGAATGTCATGCAATATCCTTTCTTATTCAGCATAAGTATTGGTATTTTTCAACTTATCAAGCAACCAGACTCCTATCAGAATAATGTCTCTAAATTATACAAAGTAACAACATACATAATAAGTATCTTGATCTGTCATTTCTTTCAGGGCCAGGCATATCTTTTGGAGCTGCAAAGCTTTACGCTGATTACATCATAAATTGCTTCTTAGTAACTTTTATTTGTCTCTCCTTAATGCCTTCCATTTCAATTGTATTTTTAACAGCTAAAAACAACTTCATAGCTAAAGAGGAGCAAATCAGCTTCAAGGACTGTGCTGAAGCTTTCAAATCTGGACTGACAACAAGTGGAATCTACACTTTAACAGTTTCAAACACGGCACAAGAAAAGAAGGTAGGATAAAGAGGTACCTAGGCATACTGGATGTTAAAAGTTATTTGATCTGGCAAATATGCTATTTTGAAGACTAGTTAATAGTGAAGTTTACTACTTACCGAGGTCTTTTTATAAGCATTTCATCACTCCTAAGTGATGAAATCACTTCATATCTCATATCTAAGAGGAATCCTCATATCTAAGAGGAAGAAAAAAGTCCTTCAGGTGAAATCTTGGCTCCTTTAAAATTAATGAGCATTTTGTTGTTTGTGTCAGCATGCCAGAATTTAATTCTTTTTTTTTCTGAAAAATTAACGCAGCTAAAGCAATAATGTACTGACATTTCTTTATGAAGTCTGTAACTCCATCAGAGTTGCTCTTGCATGATCTGCAGACTCCTATCTCCTCTTAAATTCTTAGTTCTTTCACATGCCCAAGTCCCTTCACATGGCAAAAGGAGGTAAAATCAGGGACGCAGAAGAGTACTCATGGATGTATACTCATGACAGGGTTTTAAGGACATTTGTGTAACACTTGCATTAACAATTAGATCAGCACGACTGATACTGGGTAACAGAGAGGATTTTTCTGGAAAATATTGCTCTGATTTAAATAAAAGGTGAGTTTGCAGTGGTTTCACTAGATCAGTTTAAATTCCTCTGTGGATATTTTTTCCCCTTATGTTTAACTGAAATGACCTTCAGCATCAATTTCAGTTAAAGCCATACACCATAGCTCTATAGAAGAGACCTTGAGCCAAAAATGGCATTCAGTAGATGAAACACTGGATGCCTGACAGATGCTCCATCTACTGAAATAAATAAAATGATAAAACTTCAGATAGTATAGGTCAGCTGAAACAGTCAACAGAATGTGAAAGGGAGAAAAGTCACACGTGGACTGTGAGGATAATGAAACAAAACCTGTAGTGAGCATTAGGAGGAATGGGGCTCAAAAGATGAATGTTTGTTTTTAACTATTCAGACACAGATGAACAGGCTAAAGGACATTTGAATATGAAAAAAAGTGCTTAATATATTTCTTAGACAAACACTAAATAATTTTCTGATGTTTTTATTTTCTAATTTCTACTGTAGACATTTCCTTACACACACACACAAAAGAAATATTTTATGGAATTCCAAAGGCTTTACTTTATTACATCAGAAAAACTAACAGAAAATTTAAAAAAAACAGAGAAAAGTGAGTCATATGTGGAAAAGCAATTGGTAAAACCAAGACAGAGAAAGCATTTTTTCCCCAAGCTTGGATAGCAAAGGTTTAGAAATGAAATTCACTAGTACTTAGTCTTTGAAGTGCCAGTACTTCATTTAGCCCAAGCCAGACTGTGATCTTTACATTTACAAAGCTCTCAGCTAAAGGAAATAAGAAATTTGTTTGGGTAAGACCTATAAAATACAATAGACAAAACCTGCAATTTTTTGCAGATATAATCTAGAGAAATTATTCACAGTCTGCTTCTCTTGGGGAAAAAAAAAGTTAGTTTTCTTGTCAAATATTCTAGTCTAAATACATCTGTTTCACAAGAAAATTAGTTACATAAGATGTCATAAAGTAAAGCTGAATGGTATTTAAATAGCACAGATATCTACAATCACAATTTTAATAGCTAAAGGAGACGCAAGCTACTACATCTCTGAAGTAATAGATTGCAGCAGTCTTTGTTAGACATTTCAGGAAGGTTTACATTCCTTGGATCTCTTACTATTACTTGTCTCAAGTGTTTTTCTTTGGTGTTAATTCTACTGTCATATATAATATACAGAGCATGAATATTTTCTAAAATCAGATGCAAGTGCAGGACATATTACAGAATGAAAATTTCCGTCATAAACTTTACACTGCATTTTCAAAAGTACAATCACAAATTTCATAGACTATAAAATATTAAATGCTTTACATTTGAACATGGAAGCTTAAAAAACTTAACATAAATACCCATTTTGGTAACTGACTAGGCTAAAAAGTAGTTAAAATGTACTAATTTAATTAAATTAGTATTAAATCAGTAATTTAATAATGTTAAAGAATTTAAATTGTATTCTGTCCACTTTGGATTAAAAAAAGACAGGGAAGGTTTTACTTACCATATGACATTGAAAATAAGAGACTAAAAAGTTTTAATCTGATGTTGATTTTTATACAAATATAGAGGAGTTGTCAAGGGAAGTGAAGGTTTAGGGATAATCAACATGTTACACCATTTTCAACTGTTTATGATGTGGATGGCTACTCAGACCAGGAAACAGAGTGACCTTTTTTATTTGCCAAAAGTGCTGCACTGCTGTTTATGTTTTCATCTTTTCCTCTTGTAACACCTTCTGACCTCTCAATGGGCTTATAAACAACTCCTGTGTAATCTGTAACTGATCCCACTTTACTAATTTGTCTCCCATCATAATCCAAAACTAAGGAACTGCATATGAGAGTTGAGAGGAAAACAATTATTTAATTCCATTAATATTTTCAAGCTTTCCTGTTCTGCACCAGGACAAAAGCTAAGTCCTTTTAAAAACACTGAGGAAAAACAGCAAAAGACTGCTGACACAAGGAAAAATGGCAGAGGCAAACCCAAGAAAAGTGAATAGTTTCATGTTTACAGCAACTGCACGAACCAATTAACCTCCTGGTTTTAACCAGGCAGAGTACATAAAACTGTTACCAATGTATTAGTCCAAAGCTTAAAATAGTGACTGAAACAGCGGCTAAGCTCTTTCCCATTTCCACCCATGTTTAGCTGAATTTTTGTCCCAGAACTGACACACATTCAGAGCCAAGGCCTTTTAACCAAAACTTTCTCGCAGGAAGTGATTTTGGCAAGGTTGAATTCACCAACAAAATGGTTTATCATAACCTTCCAAAAAACTAGCTAATAATTTCAAAAGGAGCTTATGCCATGGACTTTATGTCTAAAATACACATACACATTGTTTCCAATGCCAAGCATTAAAAAAGATCATATGTGTAGCTTCACCAATACAGTAAGAATAAGTACGATGATTTTGGTTTTTTTTCTGTGAATCTTAGAAGTCTCATCATCTGTCTTTTCACTCGTACCTGGTATAAGGGTAAATTAAATTATAAACAGTGTGTGTAGTTATTTTTTCCAGAACAAGGAAACTCGGACTGCAGTTCTTATCTAGTCACATCTCTAGGAGATAGAGAAAGCAGAGTACAAAGTCATTGAACTGCATCTGCTTTAGCATAAAAACTGTAGTGGATCCTCATCCTGATAACTCAGCCTGAGCCTTACCCTTCATAAAGTACGTCTGAAAACACTTACACCCCAAATACCCTCTCACAGTGCTACAGCTGCTAGAATTGTAAGTACTGAAACAGTTCACAAGATACTTCAAATATTCCCCATTCCAATTTGTTGTAACTTGAGAGGCTAATCTCTTTATTCTTTTTGGCATCTGTTTGAAGACTCCTGCTGCCTGTCTAATCTTGGTATCTATTTTTACTAGTTTTATCCAATGTTACATGTCTTCCTTTTGAATATAAAACCTAGGCTAGGCTGAAAGGTCAGAAGAGTTCTGTTCTAGTAATAAGTGATAAAAGAAAGCCTTAGAGATGACTGACATGAACTTTTTTTGGTGTGGAAATATACTCACAAATTTACATAAACTTCTTAAAATCGCTACTGGTAAAAAAAAATCTATATGAGATTTTTATGGACATCTCTTCTCCAATTTCTTATTATGTGTTTCAGTTCCTAGTTAGTTGCTTTTCCCTTTGGGAACAAATTTGCAGTACCCCAGCATTTATCCCAACAAACCTACAGTGCCTATAACAGCTAGTTGTCTTACCATTTGCTTACTTTCCTGCCTGTAACAGGAATGTTTTATGTACAACATCCACAGTCATTCACTGTTCGAGAATATTTTGATCTCATTAGAACAAAATAAAGTGCTATTTAAAGGCATTTATTTCTTCAAAGTAATAATTCCAACTGAATCAAAATTTAGATGATAGGCATCAAGGAAATAGAATGTAACATGCAAAAAAACCATCAATTAATGTCTACAGTAGCAATATCGACTGGACTTGCAGCTCAAGTAAATTAATACATGGGCTCCTACTGTACATACTTAAAGACTCCATGTTTCAAAGAAGGGTGAAACAGTTCTGTTCTCCATCTGACTGCTTATATTGTTCTTTCAAGTGGGGTGAAGCTTCAGAATCAACAACTTTCTCTACAACTAATGATATTTTACCACTGTTAAATCAGCTTTTTAACTTGTAGCAATGCTTAACAAAAGTATCTGCATCTGCTTTAGCCCATTCTTAGTATCCTTCCTCGTAGCCCTCTGTGGAAATTAGTTTTCACATATACATGTAGATTACACTTCATGAGTTAGCTTTCTGAAACAGACTGATCTCTTACATCTTCTGCCTTTCCTTTACAAGGTAATTTTTATTTTACTAAATTTAATTTATATACTGTTACCAATTTTTTACTGGTCATTAAATAAAGATGTTAGTAAAAACAAAGAAAAACCAGGCTTTGAGATGTAAGGAATTACACACATCAGTACAAATTAAAGTTGCTGCTTTCAATTAAATTCCATTCACATGATATACTTTAAGAAGTAATCCCTAATCCAACTCTTTTCCTTATGTATTTTATCTTTCCTAAAAATCTCAAATTGAATGTCTTACGATTCTCTGATGTTGAACAAAGAGTCTAGATACAAGCTTAAAATAAAGTATCTGCTTTGGATTTCTAATGTGCTACAGCCTATTGAAACACTAATATATTTGATATTTCCAGCTGTAAGGGCTTTCTTTCCCTTCAAAAGTCTGATGCCTTTGAACAGTATATATGACACTGCTTGAACTGTAAATACCCTGTTTAAATTATATAAATATATACATGTGTGTGCGTATCACATACGTACAGTCCACATACCCTAAAAGAGCCAACTACACTGAAAATTTAGTAAGGAGTACACCTTACTTCCTAAAACGACACATTTAAAACCGCCATAGGACAGAAGGAAATTCTGGCTTCTCTGAAGTCATACTTTTTCAATGAATTTCTGGGATGTTTAACAGTTCAAAGAGCTCAAATCTGCTAACTGCTAACACTGATAAGCCAGTGACCCAAAGAAGAGGATGAAAAAGCCATACAGGTTCAGTGTCATTCAGTCATGATTTGGGACATCTATAGGCACATTGTGACAAGCAGCAGTAATAAATTAGGTAATAAGTAAGACCACTGAGAGAATTTTTAAACAAGGAAGGAAACATCCACATTCATACTGAGATGCTTGGCTAGGTTTTTTATTTATTTATTTATTTAATTAGTCTCTACAGATGAAATATCCTATCAAAGCGTAAGAAGTCAAATCTTAGCTCCACAGCTGTAAATGGGAAGATGCAACTTCACTTAATAGATGAAAGATCTAGAATACAGATTAGAAGTTAATGTAGTTTAATACTCACAATAGAATATAAAAACTTTTCAGAGATGTGAAATAATTCTGAAGAAGACTCAGAACTTTAGTATCTTGGCAGGAAGTGGTAAAAAAATTAAATTTACAAATGAGAGAGCATTAACTGTGAACTCTTCAGACAGGAATACTTGTACAAGCAATTTAATATTTTTCTTAAAGACAGTATTGGTACTAACATGCAATTTAAACAGATCCTGACTTCACTTTGCCTTTCATTGTACTGAGTTACACCAGCTTAGCTCCACTAACTTCACACATCTAGCTATAAGTTCTGTTAGTTTCAGAAAAGCAGAATTAGATGCAACAATTTCAAATCCTTTCTCAAGAAAAATTGTACTAGATATTCACATATTTACAAAATTTTCTTGTTAATTTGTCCCTATTTCTCCCAAAGATCACTCCAAAAGTCCTGTTAATTGTCAAAAGACTTTTTTTCCATCAGCATCTCCCCAATACACTGGCACCTTCAGTAATACCTTTCATCTCTGACACTGCAGTGATTTAATCTAGAAGGAGACTGACTGAGCAAGACACCTATAAACTTGAATTTTATGTCCCAGAGATGCATTTATTGGGAATTCTAAAACTGAGTTCAGTGAACTGCCTATTACATGTCAGTCCTTTCAAAGTTTTAGCAATGACCTGGTAAAATCAAAGGCGATTTAGGAATATTTGGAAACATCTTATAGTTGTTACCTTTTTGTTCAAGAATATAAGATATCCATTGCAGTCTGTATAACATGGCTTCAAGATTTAAGTTTGAGATAATAACTGTTCTACACTTACATTTAACTTTGGGGTCAGACCATTTGCAAAGGCACTGAACAATGACTGTGGAAATAAAAATATATTTCAGTTTGCTCACTGCCTGAACTTGACAGTATATTCTGAAAAGCCATGGGAAACTTGAACAGATCTCTCACAAAAAAAAATGGAGAAGTGAAAACATCTTTTAGAAAAAATATATCACGAGGAAACTCACAAAAATACCGGTGCAAGAGGGAAGCATAGAATAAGAAATTACATTCCTTTTTTTTTTTTCCTTTAACAGCAGCTACCAGCTATTTTTAAGGTGTCATTTGTATTCTGTTAAGTGTGATACAGAGGAATCACATTTATTTGTGGACAACCACAACTGATTTGTATGACAGCTATGAAAAACCTGCATTTTTAACACATATTTTGCACAACTTGCCTTTCTGTTTTTGTTTTGCTATGACTTATGCTGTTACATACTTACTCTGACAGGCCTACTGTGACATGGAAACTGGTGGAGGAGGTTGGACAGTTATTCAGAGACGTGAAGATGGCAGTGTGGACTTTCACCGGACATGGAAAGAGTACAAGATGGTAAGCAATGTTTTCTGAAGCCTTAAATATTAGTTATTATTATCTGAAATCTAATACACTAAAGTTACATTAATAGCATCCTTAGAATGTAAACAACTTTAAAAAGTTGTCTATGTCCTTAGATGCTCATTTAGAAAATGTCAGTCCAATAAGTTGTTTGTCTAAGCAGACTTGCAAGTGTGATGTTTGTTTTTAAAGAGAAACCTTACTTTTCTTTAATCAACTGTTCCATCATATGTCTACATTTTTTGAGTTATTTATATTTGTGTTTCTAGTGGCAACAGTCGAAACTGCTCCAAATCTATGAAGTAATACTGATTCACTGTTTCAGATTCCTGAGCTTGTCTTTGCTGAAATTAACTTTTTGAAATATTACAGACCAATAACCCTCATAGACACAGTAAAATTCTCAGTTGACAGACTTGAAAACTATAAAACTTAAAAACAGATGAAGTGATAATTTCAAACACAAACAAAAAAAACCCCAACAAAACAAAGCTTTAATATAACATATAGTTTAAAATATATACCTTGAATTACAGGGATTTGGTGATCCTGCTGGGGAATACTGGCTGGGAAATGAGTTTGTTTCTCAACTGACTAATCAGAAGCGTTATGTTCTTAAAATACACCTGAAAGACTGGGAAGGAAATGAGGCATATTCATTGTATGACCACTTCTCTCTAGCAAGTGAAGAACTAAAATACAGGTAAGCAGAAAAATCATACTTGAATAAAACAAAGTTCTGATAGTAATAATTCTAAACTGGGTAGATGCATGAACTTATTTTGTACAAATCTTATTTTCCATTTCACTCAGAAAATAATGTTTGCTCCATTTTTTACCTATTGCCTAAAAAAATTATTTCTTTTTCCAAAGGAGAAAATGCGTATTTTACTAGTGCACACCAGATTTTAATGGACCTATTAATTATGCTCCCATCATCCTGTAAAATGTAAAGCTTCATAATTTCTTCTTACATCTTAGTTAGAATAAGAAATAATATAAATTTTAAAGAAATACTTTTTATATAAATACTATCATAGTATTACACATTTTGAAATAATATCATCCACAGCTGAAATATATGGGCATTTCATAGTTCATTCTCCCAGCTCTCTGTAAATGCAGTAGATACTGTTTGATTTGTTCGAGAAGAAGCTAGAGACTCCACAGTATAACAGAAGCTTTCCTACTACATGGTCCATGAAATGTTTCTCTTTAATAATCGTACAGAATCATGGAGCTTTAGGTGACTGGACAGAAAAATTACCTACATTTAGGTGAATTTCTCCAAGATTTCTAGCAGCTATTTGTTGTAAATAAAGTCAGTCTGACACCTGAGAGAACTGATGCTGTTATTTCAACTCAAGTCTTATATGCAAGCAAAGCAATTCCAAACCATCAGCATCTGCCCCCCACAAAACATTAGATCTTAATGCCTTGCTAGTATACAGTTGTCTCAGCTCCAAAATAAATATTTTTTCATCTGGAAGCAGTCAGAATCTACAGCAGAGATTTTTTTTTTAAGTAATGCTTTAAAATACTTAGAAAGGCAACCTTTGCAAATTGGGTCATTACCCTTGTCTATTTACAATATTAAAAAATAATTATTGAAAACTAAGATGGCAAAAGAAACTTTCTTATAATATGCAACCAAACATTGAATGCATCATAACATGGAGTGGTTTAAAGAATATATTTAACATTATGAAAAAAAAAACAAACCAAAGAAAGTATTCAATTAAGAGTATTTTCAATGCCCCATCTGGAGGGCAGTGTTCTAGGCCAGGCTGGACAGGGCTTTGAGCAATCTGGTTTAGTGAAAGTGTCTCTGCCCGTGGCAGGTGGATTGGAACTAGGTGATCTTTAAAGTCCCTTCCAACCCAAACCATTCTATGAATTTGTGATCCATTACATAAAAAAAGATTAATACATTCCAAATGCTGGGAAGACTATGAGTTGAACCATAAAACTGAAATTTCTTTATAGAAAAACTGAGATCAGAATGGACTTTGAATCAAACTTTCTGACCTCAAAGCTAAGAAGTCAAACCAGGTTGCTCAGGGCTTTTCAGTTATGTCTTGATAACCTCCAGAAGTGGAGACTGCACAACCTGCTTGTCTGTCCTTGTGGCAAAAAAAGTTTTTCCTGATACCTAGTCAGAACCTCTCATTTCGATTTCCATCCACTGCCTCTCATCTTCTCTTATATTAAGATGTACTTAAAAAAAATTATTAATAACAGTAAATGAATAATACTGTGCTTAAATTAGACTTCAAATTATATTTAAGAATCAAGCCTAGGTGCATACATTATACTTGGAAATTTTAATATAATTTATATTATAAATTGGTTTACATAATTTTGAACTCACCTTAAGAAAAAAACAGAATAATTTTTTAGAAAGACATTTTTGAGAAATCTGTAATGAGCTCATCTTTTGAAAGCTAAATGAGTAAAAATTCATTAATTCAATATGTTTTCAAATAAGGAATATACAATGTGTTAAAATAATCTGTTAAACTCCCAAAGACAACTTCTATCATAAGCAGAGAATTACATGCAAGATAAAGATTGACCCAGGGACAAGTCAATTCTCCTCAGAGATTCAGATCTCCTCCTTAAACAAATAGAATGCCTCTGAGAAGCATGAGGTATCCGATACAGAAATGCAACCACCAAAGAGCTACTATAGGAGTAGAGGGTTCAAATCCTTCCAGTTCGGTGCTCTGTCTCTCCCCACTGCGACTGCATCAGCATCTGTGTAAGCACATCCCAACACAGCAGCAGCCTCACTGAAAGCTTACCTTGCCAGGGAATTGAAGAAAACTTAAATACCTGTGATGATTTCATGCTAATAAATCTATGAGGGATGTGAAAAGGAAGAATAATTAGGAATGTGGAAAGGGAAACACTGAGCAACTTTTAAAATGCCAGTCACTAGCTTGTAATTAATACTCCAGATAATGCTATTATTTCTGATATATGCAGAGTTGTCATGATAAACTGTTATGCTGTGTTAATAGCAAAATGGGAACCAAAATTTTTGTTTTAAACTTTTAAACTTAATAAAAAAAATATTTTTATTACTGTGGCATGAAAGTAGAACAGTGTATTTCAGTATTAAGAAATACATGATCTACATGAAAAATTCCAGGAGTTATTATATACTTGCTCTAATTTGCTTCTAATATAATGACATGAACATCATCTCTATAAATGTGGAGGCTGTTCATGAGAATATTGTGCTGACCATTTCTATTCATATGAAAACATTATGCTGAAAAACAGCTTACAACAGTACATTGGCCAGAAGAGAACTTAACTATTTGAACAGGATATTTATTGCAAAGTATTCCATCATTATTTTGCAGATCAGATACCATCAACTTCCACTTAATAATTGTTTTTCCATTTCTCACTTCTACAGGATTTACCTTAAAGGACTTACTGGGACAGCGGGCAAAATAAGCAGTATAAGCCAACCAGGAAATGATTTTAGCACAAAGGATGCAGACAATGACAAATGTATTTGCAAATGTTCACAAATGTTAACAGGAGGTAGGAATGTTTTTATGCTTTTCAGTCTTCCTATTTTTATTGGCAGTGAAATTGTCTACGAGATAAACAGTGATAATTTTGAATTAGTAAATTTTGACTACTAGTATGGTGACTCCAAATGAAGTATTTTATCATTTTACAATGGTTAGTTAAAGTAAAACATGAGAAGTTAAAAGTGGAGGGAAAAAAGTCCCTAAAGCTGGGCTACAAGAAAGTCTGTAATTGTGGAACTAACCAGAAAGACAGCAGATTCTTCCTCCAAGGAATGAAATAACAGTCAGAGATCAAAACACAACTCCCTGAAAAAACCCTGTTTCAGACATCCAGCTCGTCAGTGAAATGGCTCCTGATTCTTTAGGCATAAACTCTTTCCCTAACTACCCAGAGGAGAAAATCCCCAAAAGCTGCTGTGTACTGCACGTGCTACAGAAGGCAACACGAATTCTAAATATATTTTGATATAATTATGGAGTGGTAAAGATACATCACCGATATGAGATATCTACATTTTTCTAATGATCGTTCACTAGTTATTTGAGTTCTAAGTGATATTTTTATCTTCAACCAAATTCTATTATAATTTTTTAATCTAGATTTCCACATTCTGAAATGTAAACAAATTCTTTGTAAATTTGACTTCTCTTCCTGTTATCTCTTAAGCAACGGTTTGTTTTCCTCTAGTGCAAGTTGCAAGAAAAAAAAGACAGCTTCAGTTTATCCAAAAGGATAATTGGATTACTGCCCTGCAAAACAGAACACATATACTATCACCATCATAACAGAAGTATAAAAATAATATTAATAAAAATAAATTTTCCTTATGACCCACTAACAGGTCAGGACTATAAGGATACACAATGAGGGCTGCTTTTTTTTCCTTTTCCTTCTTACCAAGTTTCAGAAGGTTTTGAACCGATCTGCACAGAGAACTGAATTAACCCTCTAGAAAGAATTGAGTTCAAATCTGTGAAGAACAGGAATTTACCAAAGAGTAAATAAAATCAAACACAACTTGATATCATTATAGTTCGTGTTCTGCCCTCAGACTGTCAATGTTTGATGTTGTTAAGCTTGATTGAACACCTTCCCTTCTCAATTTTAAAGTACAATGTATTACATAAGCTTCAAGAATATGCAGTTGATACATAAAATACACTTCTTTCCTGACTTTGAGGCAAGTATTTTATACTGACACTTCCAAATCACAAGAATGACAAACTGGACTTGGATTTCTTTCTCATTTCTGGACAACAAAGTGACCTTATATACTATTTTGAAAATTACTTCTGCTGATGTTTGTCTTCTGTCTTGCAGGATGGTGGTTTGATGCTTGTGGTCCTTCTAACCTCAATGGAATGTATTATCCATTACGACAGAACAACAACAAGTTTAATGGGATCAAGTGGTACTACTGGAAGGGTTCGGGATACTCTCTCAAAGCTACAACTATGATGATACGACCAGCAGATTTCTAAATGTTTTTGAATTATGTGAATTGTATAGTCTTCAAAGACTTAATTTGCCAAGCATACAAACACACATCTGCAACTTGTCTCATTTTTCAAGCCCAGAAAACATGCACTAGTCTTCTGAAGGGGTCAGTTCAGTATAATTCCTGAATTGCAATAGCCTTGATCAGCTAAAGCTCATATTATTTAACCAGACACAAAGTCTAAAGTATCAACCTGATATAACAGTGATTTGGCCAAATGACTGAATAAAAAGAACATCCAAGAAACTGGCAGACAAGGACTCTGTTTTACCAATCATTTATGCTATGTATGTGTTAGTAAGTAACTGGAACTGTGAAAAAAACCTAAAATAGTTTTAGAAATACGCGTTTTGCCTCACCACTGTACTTTAAACATTAATATAAAACACTTAGCTAGATCTAGAACTATTTATCTTTATCTTTCTGTGTCATGTTTGCCCTTTATGTATATAAAAAAATATTTTCCTGTAATTAGCTCAATACTGTAGTCAGAGAATACATTCTTTCCCTCCATAATCTCCTAAACAATTCTTACATTTATTTGGGGATTTTTTCCAATAGCCTATATTATGTTATTTAACAGAGGAAAAATAGCATTTGAATAGTTTGCATTTATTCTTGGGGAAATACCATGTACAAAACCCACCATTTCTTTCAGTTTGTACTATTACAGTAAACTATCTTTAAATTACAAAAATCTCTATAAATTACAATATAGTATGTATTTCTTTATATTTTTATGAAGATTGCACCTTTTTTCTTCCCTTGTCATTTACCTGTAAAATAATTGATCAGTATTCTACAAACTGAGACAACGGCATTAACACCAGATGTCCGGTTGTTTATGACAATCATTTATCACCTGGTGCTGTAGTATATCTATATGTTTTGTAAAAATAACTTATCTGAAAAACATATGCATGTTCTTTGATACAATTAAAATTATGCTTATGATACAAATGACTACATTTTAAAAACAGGAAACAAAAATCTGAAAGTAATCTAAAAGGTCACACTTGTTTTTTTTCAGTAAGGTTAGGAATTCTCCCTAAAAATTCTCTGTAGGTAGGCCCTTAATGTATGCCACAATGTGAATAAATTACTTTACTAGGTGATCCTTGCTTTTTTTTCCTCCTTCTCATTTTGTTACTATATGCCTTAAAATTGCGTACTAAACACTACAGTTCAGACTGAGAAAATATTTCTTCATAAATCACACAAAATAATTTTATGGAGATTTTTCCCAAAATTAAGTTTAGCTTTTACTTCTCATGCTTGGTCTTAGCCTTAAAGTATTATTTTTGTAAAGCTTTACTTTCAGCAGATGACTGAACTAGTTAAAATGCAAGAACATTGCCCAAAACAAGACAAAATCCTCAGGCAAAAAATTTCAGCAAGCTTAGTTAACAAAAAGGGCAACAAGGCTCGTTACAAGTCTAGAAAACATGTCTTATGAGGAACAGTTGAGAGAGCTGGGATTGTTTAGTCTTGAGAAGAGGAGGCTCAGGGTGGACCTCATCACTCTCTACAACTACCTGAACAGAGGTTGTAGCCAGGTGGGGGTTGGTCTCTTCTGCTGCACCTGCAGTGAGGGGAATAGAGGAAATGACCTTAAACTGAGATAGGGGAGACTCAGATTAGACGTCAGGAAAAAATTTTCACTGCTAGAGTGGCCAGGCATCGGAATAGGTTGCCCAGGGAGGTGGTGGAGTCATCATCCCTGGAGGTGTTTAAGAGGCATCTGGATCTGGCACCGGGTGATGTGGTTTCGGGGTTACAGTGGCAGTACTGGGTTGATGGTTGGACTGGATGATCTTGTAAGTCTCTGTCAACCTTGATGATTCTATGATTCTATCTTGAAAACAGTAAATGATTCTGAGAAAGATGGAAGAAAACTCTCCATTTTATACTGACAGTCATTAAAGCTGCTGTCAGAGAACCCCACCACTCACACCACCACCATTCTTCACTAAAAATGTGTCATCATTACTAAAGGATAGTGGATACAAAAAATATTTCTAATATTACTTCATGATCTGATTTTGGATAAATCTAAAGAATGTAAATTAACAGTCATTGTCTGAAGACTTGCAAAAATAGTGTACTTAAAATTACTGTTTAATATTTTATTGTTTTTCATAGCAAACTTGTAAGGATATATGAATCCTAAACTAAAACAAAATATGTCATAAAATTGCTTTCATGAATTCCTAAGAATGTCTTAGAGAGCAAGTAGTAAAGGAGGTAGCAAAGGAGCTGTGCATACCAAGTACACAACACACAAAGAGAGGCCTAGAGAGTTGGCATTGGCTAAAGAGAGAAGGGGAAGGAGAGACCTTACTGCTGCCTAGAACTGCCTGATCGAGGACACAGAGAAGACAGAGCCAGACTCTTCTGGGAGGTGCACCGCAGTGAGACAAGGGACAGGGACAAGATGCAGCAAATACAAGTTGGAATTGGAAAATGTAAATTTTCTTTTTAATTTATTCTCTCATTATCATGAGGGTGGACTGGACGAGTCCCTTGGAGCAGAGTGTTGAACTAGGCAACCTGCAGAGGTCCCTGCTAATCTAAAATATTTTATGATCCTGTGAAATCTAATAGAAATGCTGAGTATACATTCCTGCATTTCCTGCTTTGCTGCCTTTAATTAGACAACTAAAGAAAATGCTCCCAATATTTGTGATACTAAGCATATCCACCCCAATAATCTACAGCAAGGAAAAAAAAAGCCAACAAAACCAACCAAACCAACCCCCAAAAAGCTTCTTAAAAACCATGATGGAATCTGGCACAGTATGAATGCTCAACTTGGCAGAGGAAAATAGCGTTAACTTCCAGTTGACATTAATTTTATTTATTTTGGAAAAAAACACTGTATGATAAAAATAATTTAATATCGCATGGCTAGTTTTGATTTGTTGAAAACAAGTCTTTCTAAAGCTTAAGACTTTTTCATGACTATTCTGGGAATATTGATGTAGATATTGAATAGATCACCTGTTTAACGAGACTTTTTCATTTTGGGGGAAAATGGAGCAATTTATCAACACGAATGTGAAATTTTAGAGTGAATATGTTTTTAAATGACATTTTATCTAAAGAGGATTGCATGGCTTCAACTGCAAACACCAAAGTGAAGTGAGAGGAAACATTTCAGAAGGAATGAAATAACAGCAAACACTTGATTTATAACAAAAATAAAATTACTGTTTAATTGATTAGAACATATGAAGCACTGATACTCGCAGGTCTGCACAGGTACACAATGCCCCCAATATGCACACTTTTGCACTTGTTCCTGATTCAGTATTTGAGAATGATCATTACAGGCAGGAAAAATGTTTCATTTTTTCCTACTTAGCAGTTCTAGAAGGCCACAGTAATTTTCCATTGCCCAAGAAATTTCTGGACCAAAAAAATTGAGTCCAGGACCTGCAAATCTTTCCATTTGGCAATAGCATGCCTCTCCATTTTATATACAAGCACAGGTAAAAATAAAATTAAAGTACATTTATACTTCAATAAGATCCTGGTTTATTCAGATGTTAATTGGTGGATCAATTTTTTGCATTTTCCACGCATACCAGAGTTTTTGCACACACTTCAAAAAGTAGTGAACAAATGAGAAAATAACTCCTTACAGTATTTGCTTTAAAAAATATTTTTTTCTAGCAGGCTTTCTTGTTCCCAAAACCTGTTTAGAGGGCCAGTCATTTCCCAGATAAACAAAAGAAGGTTCAGAAGCTTAAAGGACCGTTAAACTTACAGGAGCTGCAGGAAAGCTGGACGAAAGCTCATATGGTTCCTCTGAAATCCAATGGCCCAGTTCCAAAGACCACAGAACCTAGAATTAAATAGGTAGTAAGTAGAGCTCTTATAGTTTCTAAAAAAATAAACTCTTTGAATGTGTAATTAGAAGTAACAGTGCTGTTGCAACAGTTGTTTGATATTTCATTTATCCAAACCAAATGATTTGCTGAAAAATCACACAATCAGAGAAGATACAAATTTTACAACTGAAACAAACCATTAAAATACCAGCCATATTTCTATGCATAGCTACATTAAAATTTAAAACCTTGTGAGGGTATTAGAAAAGTCAACTTATTTTCATCACAATACGTAGAATTAGAACAAAGATTCCAAAAGGGAAGTTATACTATATCAGTTCTGTTCTCTTGGTTCAGTTAATCATTGAACTTCATGAAGTTTCTGTTAGCTCATTTCTCCAGCCTCTCAAGGTCCCTCTGAACAAGAATACCCATCTGGTGTACGAAACACTCCTTCACAGTTTTCTAACATCTGCAAACTTGCTGAGGTTGCACTCTTCCCCATCATCCAGATCATAAATGAAGATGTTAAACAATGGTGACAAGGATTATGTAACTATTGCACAGAATATACATTACATATGTAAATTAGCCTGCAAATAAGAAAAATTCAGTTTAATTCAGTTTGGTCCCCTCCTCTGTCAATGTCACATTCTAGAGCACAAAAAAAGGCGCAGGACACCGACTCTCTAGAAAATACATAATCATTTGTGTTCAACTGAGCTCTGAAACACTGGATCAATATGATCCTTGGAGACTAGCAATCCTAACACTTTGGACTACTTTCAGACTTTTGTTCCCATCAGCGCCATCACAAAACTATTAGCAGAAAAAACCTACTTAAAATGGTTGTATTTTAATTTCTGAAAGGTACTATTTTTATTTTTTTTTGGTAAAACTTTCCCAAAACTGCTTCATCCAGCATATTTTTCCACACTGATTTTCTAAACCATTCTTCAAAGCAATTTACCATAACTTGCAGTTGGTAGACTATAATATTAAAAACCCCCAGATAGTGTTTAGATACTATCCCTCAATTGGTAAAAGCATCATCTTAATGAGAAAATGAAAAAGAGTGAAGTTTCTACATTGGCTCTGTCCTTGAGTCATATAAAGGACATTTTGCTACTAATTTGTAGATAGTCTAAATTTAGAAGCACATTCTGATGGAAGACAAGATTATTTTCCTCATTGGTTTTATCAGTGGTGAGCCATAAATATAGGTAAAAGACTGGTAAATTCTTTGCCAGTTTTGCCCACTCATTCCACTCAACAACTTTTCCCTTTAAAAGATATTTAAGCTTCACAACATCCTTCCAGCAGTTGCCATCTGGCATCTCTTAAATACAAGCCAAAGCAAGCAATGCTAGCTACGAGTACCTACCCTGCTCTCCTAGAGCAACAGAGAGTATTAAGGGAACAAGAAGCATACATATACCCCCAAAATGGGATATATGGAATTTACCAGAGAGTAAATCCCTGTTTTAGAATAATTCTAACTCTGTCACATTTACCCTAAATAGCTCTCTCACCATTTTAAATAGATGATGCCTGTTTCTTACTGTTAGGACAGCCAGGCACCATTAAACTGTCATTATTCACCTTAGAACAAGCTGAATTTCATCAGTGCGTAAAATTATTCCCATGCTTGTTTCACAATAACTGAAATACTCTGTATTTTTCTTTCTTTTGGAAGATGCCATACAAATCCATATATTAGTAATTTTAATTATAAAACATTACCTCACAAAATTTAGGAACAAGTCTGTGAGCTATTCCACTTGGATAAAAACTGGCATTGTAGATATTGAGCATGGTAAAGTTATCCTCTACAATGTTAAAGCTCATTGATGAAAAATTTTAAGCTGAACAGAGTGATTATAAACTAGCAACATAACTTTATAAAATGGCCTAATTGTATGTAGGAAAATAAGTTTCTGTGAAGGACTTTTTTGCCCCAAATCTATTGCTACATGAAGTAAAATTCTTTTGATAAAAAAATTATTTTCTAAATTAAGTTCTATAGTTTTCAGTTGAAAGCAGCTTATGTCTCACGACTTCCAGGGAAACCAGCAACTTTTAATGTGAACTGCTACAAAAGCTGGTGCTTTGTGTGATGTGACAAGTCATGTTTGACTTGTGAGGGGAGGTATCTAATTTTGCAGGTGACTAGAAGTGAACAGTGATTTGTTGCTGGTAATAAAAAGCAGCATATCTTCAAACTTATTGTTGAACTTGATCACAGAATTCCAAAGAATATTATGTTTTCTTTTAGAAGATGTACAACCAAATATTTGAAAATGCAACGCATATACAAAAAAAGAAAATAATTTCTACAGTCATTATATCATACCAAACATAAAAATAAGAGTTAAGTACATTAATAAATCAGTGACATTTAACAAATATTCAAAACTCAATAATGCATTTCTGTGTTCAGCTAAGTATAGTAACTTCTTAAAAACATACAGACTGCAACTTAGGATTGTAAATTATAAATTTTAAAGTGGTAGCTGCGTGTATTTTTTACAATTACTTTTAGCAATTTAAAGTAAGAATATTGAAGTCTGTGAGCTTTATACTTATAGTTGTGTATATTTACTGAAAATAAAAAACTTGTTAGTCCAAGCCATTTCTCTGTTAATTCCAGTATAAATCAATTTTAACTGAACCAAGAAAATTTAACACAGAGACATGCTACATGAAAATAAATTCTTCATAAATAATCTTCAGCAGGAACAGATGTACCATGCTGTGTAATGTGTACATCATGTTTTTATAGTACCAAAATTATGTTTGTACCAAAAGTAGCTGGACAACAACTCAAGCAGATTAAAACATAAACCCAAAAGATTAGTTATGATTAAGTAATCCCTTTTTCTTTTCCAGGCCAATTCTACAGCAACAGATCTATCAATCCTTGTAGTATTTACAGAATTTTGTTTAGAAATGAATTCTGTTTGTCTTAACAAAAGATGGATTAATGCTTGTCTATCATGGTTCTGGAATTGAGTACAAAGGCATTGTATCTATGTTCCTAGATAAAAAGAAAATTAGATACTGAGTTCATGAACAGGTCCTGGAGCAAATAATTAGGTCACCATTCACTAAAACATTCAGTTTTCATGAAAACAAAGACAAGAGCTTTCCATTGCAAACTACTGAAAGTTTGCTTCTGCCTTTGACAAATTTTCAACTAGTATATATTCACAGCAACACTAGAAAAAATGCTTCAAATTCATGTAGGACAAAAACAAGTTATGATTTGCAATATTATTCTTAGTTGAAATACTTCAGAATATAAACACTTTTCTATTGAGAAGAAAGGGCTATCTAGAAGTTTTCAAATGTGCAGTTACAGAAGATGTAACTTGTAATGATAAAGCAGCACTGTATGGATCAAGTAAGAATGCTGGATATAGGAGCATCAGAAGTTAGGAAAATACAGCTGATAACATTGAGATATTGAGAATATACCAGATTCTAGTAGAATACAGTCTTCCTGATCATGGAGGACCCAAGTTAGGAGAAAACAGAGAAGGAAGAAGAGAGTGAGAAAAGTATATTTTTTCTGTGGACTTCTTACAACCTTAAAGAATGTTTTCCTTTGGCTTTGGACTCTAGAATCAAGTTGATCAATCTGTAACTTCATCCTCAAGTAATTCAGTAGCAGGCAACCAGTATGGCATGGAGCTCCAAAAGTGTTCTGTAGGTTATACAGCTAAAAGTTTAGCCTTGGTGCAGTTTTCCTCTGCTTATCCATATCAGCTATGTTCTCTTATCACATAGAGAAAGGTATGTCAGACATCAAGTTCTCAAGGATCTGAAAACACACTGTTTGAGTAGTCATTATTTATGGTCTCTTACCCATCCGGATAGCACACTGAATGATCATATGGTATTTGTACTCAAATAATTCATCTTGGAATATATAAAAAGAGTGCTATGAAGATTAAATGTCTGATGGCAAATTTGGTATTTCTCCAACATCCATCTTTATAAATATAATTTTAAGTTTTTCTCAGAAGAAAAAAAATATTTCAGTCTAAACTGTCTCCAGGTTACAAGTCAAAAGGCAGATGCAAATAACTTCTCAAAATGTTGAGAGACATCTTACAAAAGACAATCATCACTGGTCAAAAGTAATACCTTGTTTAAAAAGTGTAACTAATTTCTCCAGATTGATCGATTATTTTAATTATCCAATTTGAACTCTTTTACCAGTGAAAGTACTTATGATAGGGTTGATTACATTCAAAGGATTCAATAATGTAGCATCAATAAAAGAAGATTATTTTGCTTAAATGAAGTTCTCCTAATTTTCTACTGAATTCCTGAATTCCATCTACTGAATGATGGTTAAGTAAGGCTTCATCTTTCTCTTCTCTAGTTTTTCAGTTAACTAATCTGGGTTAAAAGATAGCAAAATTATGCCAGTGACACAACTAGAAATAAGACAAAAAAGCTCTTACATTATAAGATTCATTGATTTAACCAAGTTAAGAAATAATTTTTTTAAAAGTTCAAAGCACTAATTTATTTCAGTGAAAGAGATTACTTAATTACTTGAGGGAATAAGTCTACAAGGTAGGCTGTAAGATAGGAGGACAAAATTTGGCATTACTACTGATCAATACAGTCTACGAAAACTATGGGTAGATGGTTTCACCATGAATTTGTTCACAGAAGTTCAGAGTATAAAATGGGCTGTGAAATGCCAGGACAGCAATTGTCAGAATACTGATTATCCAAATACTGCCTTATGTACAAACACAGGAAGCTATTTTCTACTGTCTTAGTAGTTATTTGAAGCTTTTTTCCGAGATAAAATGCAGCTTTCATGTTTGACTACCCTCTTATGAAAAAACAGCTTATAGCAATTACGTTGTGACTTGTTAAATGCTCCATACAAAGACAAGTGTGGGACAGATATTTCAGTGTATTTAATTCATAGATGCAAAGAATCATATAGTAGTTGCAGCTGGAAAGGATGTCTGGAGATTTTCTTTTCCAAACCCTTGGCTCAAATGTGTTCTTCTTAATGCAGCCAAGCTTAATGCAGCTATTAGTCTTTTTTTTGCCACAAAGGTACATTACTGGATCCTCAAGGTGACGAAAGATGCAAACCCTCTATTCCAAGGGAAATTAATCACCAAGAATTTATGAAAACCCTGAAGGATACCACAACAATTTCAGATGACTGCATATATATCACACAGGACAAGCTACACTCTGCTAAGTGTCAGACATCTCAAAAACAAAAAGGCAATAGGAGTTTATTTTCAGCCCAACAATTAAATTTTCAAGTATTTGTAAGAAAAAGGAAACTACAAAATTGAAAATTATTCAACAAACCTTTTCTGTATAAGATGAAGAGCTAATTCCATATAAATTCCAACAGCTATGTTTCATAGTTCCAGAAATAGTTCCATTATCAGAGGGAGCAATTGAGATGGCTTAAGCCTGGGCTGAGAGGTAAGCTCCCCACCCAGTCACTGCTATTTCCATTTTATATTTTCCCTACTTGCAGTAAAGGATCTAACAATTCCCCTTAATTTTTACCAAATGCTGAACAAAATGCATGTTTCAGAACAGAACAGAAATATATTATCAGGATATAAAAAATTCAATCTGAATAATGTGAGCTGGCTAACGTTGAGCAGAAATGGTTTATTTAGCCTTTAGTCTGTCCAAAAATAATGCATAAGAGATGAGTTTCTCATACATGAGATAAAAGTTCAGGCCTTCCTAAAATACATAATGAGGTACAATACAGAAATTCTTTGGTTAGATTAAGCGCTGAAAGACTGTAACTCACAGTAACAGAGCTTCACACAGACAAATTTCATCTAATTGAATTAATTCTAGGTAAGTCTGAATATCTGAACATTGCACCATTGTATGTAACATAGACCCAAGCACAGTTGATATTTCAGCTATACAAAATAAGTTTAAGTTATTGTGTAGTAAAATTAAAAAGCACTTCTCACCCATTCATAAGAAACAATCCAACACCCATGAGCAATTCTCAGCATAACATTCAAGGTATGATGAGGATCCCCAGTAACTACATGACTTCTTGTTCCACATACATCATTTGAGAACAAAAGTCTCCAAGTTCTTTTCATCACCTGAATTACTGTATTACTGCTTCCTAAAAAGAAGAAAAAGAAAAAAAGACCCCAAACAACATTGAGTGAATTTACAGAATTATAAAAGCATATACACACAACACAAATTAACTCAAACTCATCTCTTTCCTCATTAATAATTTCTTGTCCTTTTCTCACTAAGCCTCTACACACTTGATAGCCCCGAATTCACTACCCTCCCAACAGAGTCCAAACAGACCCTTTTCTGTTATCATACAGTCATATCTACTTGCACTTCAAAGCCCTTTTGTCCCCCACATCTATCTTGTCTGTTTAAATAAAAGCTTTTGAGTGCAGAATTATCTAATATGTTGTTTGTGTACAATGCCCAGTACAACAGAGCCTAATTCTTGGTTGCTTTTGTAGTACTATCAAAAAAGTATTACCAAGAAATGTAAACATTTAGACATAGCACTCTTAACAGGTTTTCATTAGGAAGCATGAGATTTTCAGCATCTGAATAATATGCTGTGTCTAAATTTAGAGAGAAATCCTAAAATTCTGTCTGGCTTTCTACCAACAGATTTGAGCAAATGTTTCAATTAAAAATTCACTTATCCTTAAATACAATTAAAATTAAATATAAATTCCAGAATGTCCACCTATAACTGGAATTCTAATTCGAGGTCTCTACATAGCTGTGCTGAAGCACATAAATGTATCATTGTGAAAAGAGTAAGATCTTGGTATCACTAAAGAAAAGCTGTTGCAAGAGAACAATTTACTGTTCTTACTAATCATTATTTTTACAATTATAAATGATCATTAAAGAATCCATAAATGAAAGCCAAGTTCTGGTGGCCACTCTGCTCCCCCCACTGACTTTGAAACATCCAGGGCATTTGACACAAGATAAAGCAATTAAGCACAACATTGAATACAGTCACATCTATCACACTGGCGATCTTTTCAGGTAAAACATTAATCACTGACACTCAGAGCGCAAGAGCATTCAGAGCATCTCCAGAAGCCTCTGTGGTTACTTCATTCTCACTATATTTCCAGATTTCCACAGAAAGGAAATCTGTTACAAACTCCCAAAGTATCCCAGCTAAAAAAAACCAAACTACTTAGTGGAATTCCAAGAAAACTGCAAAAACTTCTTCATAGAGATTGGAGCAATCTATTTTTCAAGAAGTTTAAAACAAATAAATTAATAGTAAAAACAGTGTAGCAAACTAATTTCACACAAATTAAAAGGCGATATTGTATGCTGAGATAATCAAAAAAAATCAAACAACTGACCACTCCAGTGTGAATTCTGGCCTTGGCTATATGGCTTTGCTTGTTACTGGAATATTTACTATTCCCTTTACATTTTGTGAGTTTTAACTTGACATAGCCTACAAGTGAATGTTTTCAGAATGCTGCAACCCACAGCGGCTTGTCCTGCCCAGAGTGCATGCTCAGGGGATGTATTTCCATGCTCTACCTGAACCTTTTCTTAGTTCTTTCCCATGTCTACATAAAATTCCTTATAATGAGATGAAAAATTCCTGTTGTACAAGACTCGAATCTGAGATGTCTTATAAATGGCAGAGAAAACTCACCAGTTTATACTTGAGTCAACTGCAAAAACTGATGGATGAAAATTTACAGCAAAATTTCACTGGATTTGTAAATCAGAAAAATAGGTAGCTGCTGGCTGTGAATCAGTGAGCAGCATTTAATATAATCTCAAAACCCGATGCCATGAAACCACTGAACTCATGCATCTTAAAATGTAAATTCTAATGAACCACTTTTGAGGTTGTAGCTACTGGGTAGTAAAATTGGCTTTTGACCACTGGGTTGTATTTTGGAGGACTATTTTCTGTTCTTTAGTTCTTTCAGAAGTGGTCCCTTTCCTTTCACCCGTTTAAAACTTGATGTATGCCTACAGCTGTAGTCAGCCAAAAGCACAGTCTTGACAAAAAGGTTCTGAAGAAAAGCAACTGTTATCACCAGATATTTTAATTTAATGAAATAATTGGCTAGTGGGAAAAGTCAATATACAAGCAACATAAAAGAAATAATAAAATAATGACCTCTTTATAAAAAATGAAATTTTCCCCAGCTCTGCCAGGATTTGTTCTCCTCTTTTAGGCAGACCACAGCCTCTGTCTTCCCCTACTATCTGCACTATAGCTGTGATCTTTACCTCCTCCACAGTGATCCTGTAGTGCACGACTTGCAAAGACCATTTTATAAACTTGGTGTTACTAGCATCCAGTCACATTAAGTACCAGAAAAGTATTACTTACATTTTATGTTTCTGACATATATACTTGCTAATAGCTATTGACAACCATTTACATAAAACTTCTGAAAGAACAGCCACTAAATGCCGTTTCTGAGCACTTATATCTATATAACCATTAAGATTTAAGTACATCAAGCCTGAAACAGATTTATGGATAGTAAAAATATCTTGAGTTTTGAGAAAGAATTAAAAAACTGTAAGCAAGTGTAGTATAAAATATGGAATTGTGTTTTTGTTGGATGTTCTTTATGCTGTAAGACCTTTAAGAGAATGATAAGAGCATGCCAGAAAATTATTAACTCTCTCCCAAAATATGCAGCGGCAGCTGCTTCAAATATTTTGAAACTAAGGGGCTAAAAAGCCTACAACTGATATTTACTCTGCAACTATTTGTATGAAAGAAAATATTTTAAACTTATGTTTTAGATTATGATGTTTTAAATATAAATAATTAAAATGTATGGGGAAAACCTAAGTCTTGGGCTGAACCATTTACTACGTACAACTACTATTTACATTTCCTTCAGAAAAATTCCAAACTTGCTTAAAATTTCAATTCTATTGCTCTGAAGCCCTGTTGAGCTCACCTGTGGAACTACTTTAGTCTGCACCACAGCAACAGAAACATACACAGTGCAAATAGCAGTGACATATACATGTGTGTACGAATTTCTAGCCAGAACACAGAATGAAATAAAGTGCACAGCCCCAAAATTTTGCACACACATAACAAGATTATCCACATTCAAATTTAAACTGTGTGCTGAATAAATAGAATGTTCAATAATTAGAAGACACCAGTCATAACCAGTATCCTTGTTGGCTAGAGATGTGAAAGAGACAAGAAAATATCAAAAATCTGAAAAAAATTCCCCTTTGAAAAAAAATTTCAATTAGAAACTGTTCCGTTAAAAGGACTAAACCACTTCATAATTACAGTATTACCTGGAGAAGAGTCTGAGTTAATTAACACATATAATAGAAATATTAAACTTTGAAGACAAGGAAGGAAGGAAACCATTTCCATTATGTCTTGTATCAAAGCATCTGATATAGCAGAAGACAGTAGTGTAAGCTTTCATTAGCAAAAACAAAAAGCAAAGGATTTCCAGTCTGAGATGCCACAGAAAAAAGGATAGTATTTGTCTTCTGCCCTCTCCTTCTGAACAGATGGAAAGGAAAAGGCAGCTTACCTACAACAAAGAAAACCTGTAATTTAAAATTCCAGTTTCTTCCAAAAGAAAGGCAGAGATTAGCCCAGATGCTGCAGAAACAAGAGTATATTTATTAGAAAATATAATTTTTATGACTTTATTTTTACAGTATAGTGGGGTTTTTTTGGCATAACTTCAGTATTTGATGTTCAGGTTAAGTAAACATTCCTTCACTCTTCAATATTTTCTAGTAAATAGAAGTTGTTCACGTAATGTAACACACAAGGGATACTCAAAGAGTACAGCAATCCTCAAACTAGCAACTCTGAAACACCTTAAAAAGCACCCCTGCCTTCCTCTGCAATACCACCCATAGCTTATGTGCAAAGCAGGAGCGTTTGCCTCATATGGACTATAAAGAAGCTTTTTAAGAATTAGTATTACAGAAGTCAGAAAAGGAGGGAGTTCATCAGCATGAAGGCCTCCAACATGCACAAAGGTAGCACAGAACATGAATTTTAGCAGCATCAGAGAAATACATAATTAAGCAGAACATAGTCATCAAAAAATGCATGTAAGAAGATGTTTTGAAAACCTTAGCTAAGAATTATTTGTAGCTACATAAACATACACAAATACATAAACATTTTAATTTTGTAGAAAAAAGTAGATTGACCGAATTTTATAAAATTATTTCAAACAACTCCTAATTTTCAAAATCAATTTATGAATTTAAATTATTTCTCCAGATAACTATTGGTGCACAAGAAAAAATAATTCCCACTTCTGCACTCCAATATATTGCCACAACCCAAGTAGTGAGCTCCCAAAGTTTCCTTTGAGTAGTGTACTGACCTGAGACCACAAAAATATTTTGAATTGCTAGTACAGGCCAAAAAAAGACTTGAGGGTAACTCATTTTACCCACTAATGAATCAAAGAACAGAAGAGAGAACATACTCTGATGCAACTCCGGCTTCTCTTATCAGCACAGAACTGCTCTCTATCGAGCAATCAAGCAATTTGTCACATTTAAGAATGGAGTTGGAATTACCTGTGTAGACTATTAGACTTACAGAATGTAGACTAATAATGTGCACCATGACTGTTCATTATATGAACATTCTTTGCATAAACAGAACACAATTTAGATACCACTGACAAGGCAGATATTAAAGATAACATAAGAAGGAGTCATTTCAACATACACATGGTAATTTCATTCTGTGGGTAGGTAAATTTGAAAACCACAAACCACATCTATTTAAGGCTTCAGAAGCAACATCATGCAGCATATTCAATAATCTTTTAAATTCATGATAAACATGTAAGGTCTACAATACTTCAGAACTGAAAATGTATACAATGTCAAAATGTAAAACCAATCAATAATAGAATGGAATAAAACTTCCAAGACAAAAGGATGCAACTTTTATATCGAAATATTTGAGAGAAATTCAATGTAGTATTTTTGGAAATGTAAGTTTCCGAATTCTAACTTGTTGCCAGTAATACTTAGCGCTGATATCTTACTCTACTGCTAGCCTGACCATTGAAGAGAGGATAAAGTGAACTTATCTGTAATCAAATTTTGTTCTGTTCTTAGCCAAAAGACTTTCTACTGCATTACTTTCTAACTCCAAGCAAGCAGTCACATTCAATTGCTCTTGGAAGTTCCAACTCAATTCTACACTGGAGTTTTACAAACAAAGAGTTTGTCCAAAAATAACAACAATGCAACAATATATATTAGATATGTCTATCAGAACATGAATATAATTAGTATTAATATTAAGTTACATAAACTCAGAATTTAGGAATAAACACTCAATAAAGACATCCAGTAAGAAATTAAGTAATGGTTCTTGTGGTGAAAGGACTGCAATATTAGACACTCTACTGCACAGGTTAGGTCAGATGATTGAAATCAGACATGGGGTCAGATTATACAATTATGAGGACGCACTTCATACTGTCTTAATACATATTGTGGGATCTGCAAAAAATCGTGAACATTAAAGGATTCTGGGATGTGACAGCCTGGGAAGGCAAAAACCAAGGCTTAAAAGCAAGGTTTTGCTTTTCTCTGTCCAATCTTTCTGCGTGGAAAAACTCATCTAAGTCAAATATGTATGTTTCAGCATGGTCATGACGTTCTCCTTCAGCATGTAAAGCCAAGGCTCTCTGCTATCAAAATTAAGCTCTTTTAGTCAAAGTTTGGAGTTAAATCCAAAAAAAGGAACTCCACTAGGTTCTTGGGGCTCCTTGCATAGCATTAACTCTAAAGCTAGATCCTGATGTGTTGGAATGTGCAAAAAAATATCCTTCCCTGCAATTTTTATACATTATGAAAGTATCACTAATCATACTACTACTTTTGCCAAAACTTGGGTTAAAAAAAAAAAAGCATTAATATAAACCAGGACCAGAGCAGCTTGAAATCCTACAGCTGCTTCTTCAGCTTCAGAGCAGAAATGTTTGTTAACAGTTTCTTAATACCTTGTCTATAGGTAAGTAAAAATACTGGATCCACACAAATGAGGAAACCTGCAGTCTGTCCTGACCTTACCCTGCAAAGTCAGCTTTTGAATTGTGGCTTTTAGGCTACAGTACATGCCACACATGATGGTACAGGGAGTATTCTGAAAAAATGTCCTGTCAGTGCTCTTAAAAGTTATTCAAAGACTTCAGAATGCAGAAGAACGCACACAAAACATAGAAATTGTAATACATTTAATTTCTTCCAAACTGTTATTTCATTTGCATTCAGAACTGCATATTTTTCCAAGTTAGAGGTCACTTGCTAAGCAGACAATATTTTGTTTTATTGCTTCAATAAGACAAGCAGTTCTCTTTAATTACAGTTACCAAGTGGAAAACTTAGCCAAACTATGTTCTAATTTTCAGCTCTACATTTTTCAAGTTAATTGCTTCCCCCCTCGCTATGCAATTTTTCTTCTGTGCTCTTTGTGTCTGTTTTATTTTTTATGTTGCTTTTATTGTAAAAAACCCAACCTGACCCAAAGAAAAACAACCAAAAAAAATTGAGTTAGCACTTTCTTTTCTGACCAGCAAAAAGACATCTGCTGAGCATCACTGTGAGTTCTAATGCATGTTTGTAGCAGGATTATTATTAATAAAACACTGGAAAAGGTGGTATTAAGTTAACTGGTCCTTTTATTTATCATTAATCTCTGAATCCTGAAGAGTGGCATTATCTGTACTCTGACTCAGAACACACTTCTTTCTGAATTATTTTTGAGGTCTGGAATATAAGCTTTTACATAAACTATATAGTTTAGCTTTCCTTCATATATTTTCTAGAAGCACAGTTGCATTAAGTACTTCTTCAGAGTCTGCCAAGAAAGAAAGATTTTTCTAAGTAATCTGAAATATAAAACATGCATTTCAGTAGCTGAGAGGAAATAGTATTTGTAAATCTCCCCAGTACTTAAAAAATAACGTGATACTTCCTGTATGCTAACTTACCAATCCCAGAAAGAAGGTGTCCAAAACGTATTTTTTTCTTCCTTCTAAGTTTGAGTAGGTGTTTCTTGGAGTTGAAGGGCAAGAAGAAAAAAGACCCGTTTTGTACGACCTGCTTTTCAAGAAGGTGAGCTCAAATTTTCCTTCCTTAAGCACGTCATGGGTTTTGTTTCATAAGTGACAAATGGAAATTAGACCATAAAATGTTTTTCCAGGTCAGTTTTCAAGAATAAAGTGCATTCATATAAAGAATTAACTTGACAATATAGGCCTCAGATACTTTTCAAGAAAGGATTTCAACCAATAAATAGCACTTTTGAATTGTATATTAGTCCAAATGCTCCTCTTGTGCCTTAAAGTTGATTGAAGTTCTGAAAGAAATATTCCTCAGAGTACTCTCTATCTCAGATACATGCTTTGATGGAGCAAAAAAAGACTTTCTCCTTTAGGACTCAACAAGATACTTGCCCTATGTGATTTGGCCAATATACCTCCTTTTTGGAGGCCAGGAGGGAGGCAGGGGAAAGCAGTGCATGTGTGTGCAAATACAGTGTAAGGGAGAATACAGGATTATTATCCTATCTTGTTTGTATACTTCAAATCCCTTCTTCTCTGGCTATTGTAAGTCCATCAGATGGTTTTGAAATTGGTTTAGAACTCTTATACTGACTTTTGATCTTTACAGCAGTATTTCAGAAGTAACAATCTTCAGTCCTACTAGCACATGAGCCAAAAGACAGAGCCATGTTTAGCATAGGAATATTCAACAATCAGGTTAATTTCACTTTGATTTTATCTAGGAAGGTTGTAACTTGGATCCAAAACCTTAAGTCTGCTTTTATAAACAATCTATAAATTGTAATACATTAATTTATTCAAGTAATTGTGGTTCATAGCTGAAAATAATTGGTAACTGTAATGAATGATTATTATTCAGTATTTTGTAAACAGCAATTATCCAAAGCTGTAATTTACTTTCTGGCTAGCCTTTCTCCTCTTATCAGTCCTTTGATACTGACATTTTTCCAGTTTCCTCTGGCTGCAAAAGTCAATTTCAACTGTAATTTCCTAACCAAATATAGCACCTCTGCTTTGGTCTTAGAAAGATATGAAAAAATGCACCCATTCTAACTAAATTCAATCCTGCCATGGGGAAAGATGAAAAAACAAAGGAGGTTACTAGAAGACAGAAAAATAAGATGATGTGACAGGTGCCTGGGCACCATTTTTCCTTCACTGCCAAATACTAGAAAACATGAGAAATCCTGTAATCGCAGACACAGCAACCCCTAGAACTTCTGTTTGCAAGATGAAAGATGATGAGTGGTTTCAGACTTTTCAGACTAGCAGTGTCAGAGTTTACAACTTACTGACATTTTCAGTTTTCCACATACACCCAATCATAGCTAACAACTATATTTAAGAGAAAAAAGTCAATCATAGGGGATACAAAATCTCTGTAGCAAGGGATAGCTTTCACAGCATTCTGCAAGTTTAAGAGACATGTTTACCTGCCTGCGATCGTTAGCAAAACTGGAGACTGACTTTTTCTATTAGAATAGCCAAAGGTTAAGGGGAGAGTAGATGCTTCTTTCCAGTCCTTTGGCTGCAACAAAAAAATTTCCAAGTCAATCAACATGACATGAAAAGTTTTATTATCATTTCTATAAGCACAGGCAGCAGTGATTCCCATTCTGATGGGAAGCTTAAGTCTTTCCAACAGGTACCAATTAGGGGTTGGCTTCCTGGTCCACTGCTCAGGAAAAGCAGCAGTCCAGTTCTCAACTGTCTTTCACTAGGAAAATTTCATCTCTAGACCTTATTATGAGAAACCTGAGGAATCATTGAATCATAGAATATCCTCAGTTGGAAGGCACCCACAAGGACCATCAAGTCCAGCTCCTAGCCCTGCACAGGATAACCCCAAGAATCTCACCGTGTGCCTGAAAGCATTGTCCAAATGCTTCTTGAACTCTGTCAGGCTTGGTGCTGTGACCACTTCCCTGGAGAGCCTGTTCCAGTGCCCAATCACCCTCTGGGTAAAGAACCTTTTTCTAATATAAGAAAGAGACAATGTGACAGAAGTGAATTTCAAGAAGTGGGATGCTAAGAGGGGGAGAAAGTTACTTTATAGTTCAGATTCTAACAGAAGATGAAAGACTGGGTGAAGGAAGGGCACTCGCTCACCCCAAAAAAGTCACAAGACAGGAGAAAGAGGAACAAGGGCTATCATAGGGCAACACTATGTTACAGAGAAAACTCATATAGGCAAGAAGAAACATTTTAAAGACAACACTAAGGCACAAATTAATTCTGTCATTAGTACCAAATAATGCCCAATGTATACTCACCTTCCCAAATGATCTGTGAGTTTCCACTGAAATTTTAAGCAACATGAACTTCTTCCCCCAAATCCCAGCTTCACCATGTTAACAAAATTAGTTTGTAACCTTCTGCAAATAATTTCAACAAAAAATTAAGTATCACGTGGGAGTGAATGTGTTTCATCTGTTCAGACATTAAAAAGTGTTTATGCTTTCACTATGATCCAATGAAGCGAACAATCTCTTTGGACAGCTGACTTATGACCAACTAAAAGCACTTCAGAAAGCTTCAAATGAGAAGCTGTGCCGTAACTGCAAGATAAAAAACAAGCCCAAGGGTAGTGGGCAACAGTAGAGTAGCTTCAGCAAAATTAATGGTTTGATATTTAAGACCTCATCAGCCACTCATTTGATTTTTGGTAATAGTGGTTGCCACTCACCATGAAAGGTTCATTAGAAATGATGTTTGCCTCAGCTACTTCATTGCAGACATCACTGGCTCATTAACTCTGTTCACAACAGGTCATTGGGCAGAAGCAACTGAGGCACAGACAAATTTCCATTGTGCAAGCTGTAGGAATGGAACCATTTCTAGAGGGAAAGAACAATTTTGAATCCCCCCAATTGTTACATGGTGCGTTTGCACAATAAGTAACAGTGTGACGTTAATTTGGATATTTGAAGTCTTTTGGAGATGCCAGCTATGCAGCAATGAGTGGAATCTGAGGTGAATATAATCCTGAACATGTTTGCAGCCCAAAAGAGTCAAGCCAGGATTTATGCTAACTTTGTGTTAAGATACAAGATCGTAAACTTCAGTAAATAATTCTCTGACAAGATTGTAACCCACTTGTTGATGATAGTAAACAACCTGAGTTAAAGCTATACAGCACTCCAGACAATATGGTAAACAACTGAACAATACTTATTTCAGGCTTTGAAGTGCAACAGCAATATTAGGAAGGGTAGAATAATAATTAAAAAAAAAATTTTTTAGAATCTTGAAGAATTATTAATTAATCATACTTGCATACAAATCTTAGAAAAAAAGGATTTTTGTATAGTGTGTGTGTAATGTGTTGCAAGATTTTTTTCCTATTTAGCTGATTGCATATTTATATTTCTGTTCCACACAGATTTGTTTGTAAGTTCATAATTCAATTCTACAAAGATCACACCATTAATCTATAAAATGTTTAATTTCAATGTAGAAAAGCATGGTGATATTTGTTTTAAAATATTAAAAAAATCTCAATGAAGACACGTCAAATGCTGATAAAATGGAGTTTAGGAAGTCTTTTGTTCAGGTTTATTTTCAACAATTTTCAAGATCTCTGAGACTATAATTTAGAAAGCAGTTATATCAACTAAAGGATTTCCAACCTATAGAGTCATGCCAGACACCAGCAGGTTTATGTTGGGCATTCATTTTTCCAAGAGTTAAATTAAAAAAAAAAAAGAAAAGAGGATCTAAGCAGCATTTCCTTTTCCTCCTGGTAGTTTCTGATGCCAAGAGGGAAAACAGTTTCAGTTTTACACTGATTCTCTGTCAAACCAGCTGCAGCCCAGTGGATTGGCTGGTTTTCTGGCATGATGGTTATGACCTCAGCACTAAATGTAACACTGCACCCCAAAACTGGAAAAGAACAGAATATATACCTATGTTCAGCAATGAGGTATGTACACTTCAAGCATGGACTCCAAGCTCTCACTTCTTCCACAATGTTTATGTACTGTTCCCCTCATGCTCTGAGCCAGAAAGAGTTACATCTATTTCTCGCACTAAAGCCTCCCTTCCACCATGAAATCCAAGAATACATAGACTTTTAAATAAAAGGATGGAGATGATACAGATGTACTTCAAGTAACCTGGGATTCCAGGATTTTATTCTCAATACTTATCCCTATCTACTGTTCACCATGGATAGATCTTGAGCAATTTCCTACTTGCCTAAAAGTAATAATAAAAAATATGTTCTGACTTTATGTAAGACCTCATAAATAGTCTCTGAAACAAAAATCACAATACCTACCAATCTTATAGAAAAAAAAACCAAAAAAAGAGTGAAGTGGGTTTTTTTCTTAATACTGTGCAAACAAAAAAATCAAAACTCTCCATCTACTTAAGCCACTATTTCTCGAAAAAGGTTCTAAAAAACAACCAATATGTAATTTGTTGAGTGAGTAGAAATTTAGTGACACCAATTGTTTCACAGCACAAGCTTAGACCCTTCGCAAAAATTTTCCCTCCTCTCAAAAAGTCTCATCAGTTCAATGTTGACACATGTACCTTCACCCAAATCCAAAAGCCATAGAAATACAAGCCAAGATGAATGTTTAAAAACAAACCTGAAGGAATTCCAGTTAAGTCCATACTATTGTCTTTGTGAAAATACAGTTTTAATTATCCCTCATGATATTTAACCGGTTTTTTTATGTGGTTAAAGAGTTTCTTCTATTCACTCAGAACACAGTATATTAAGGATTTTTTTACTGTAAAATTTGAGTTGCATTTCTAGTGATATCATACTGTTAGATGCTTTAAAAGACATCCCTAGCCTCTCATATCCTTCTAAAACTAGGAAACAAATTTTTTATTTGAATAAAAATGGCAGTTAACTGGTTATTAATAATGAGTCATTTTTAAAGTACAAAATATTTACATTTGTGACATGCAGCAGGCACTGTGGTAAATGTAAACTTTTTTGTGACAATAAGCAATGAGCACTCAACCTCATGCCAAGTTTATTACCATTGTAAATAACTTGTTTGAATACATTTTTGCCTTTATGATTAATTTTAGTTATTTCACTTTGTCTTCCCTATGCAAAGCAACGAAAAACTATGTATCTAATTTCATGGAATAATTAAAAAATGCATCACAATACATAAAGGGTTTATTTTATCCATAAAATCCAGTATCATCAACTTATATTTCTAGAGCAGGGAAGACTCCCGATGACGTTCACAGACATTAATTGACAGTGTTTATCCTTAACAACTCTGTAGGAGAAGAATCTGAAACTATCCTCATTGAAGTGTTGCTGTCTCTCAAAACTAAGAGTCAACTCTATAAATTTATCTTTATGCACTGCCTTTGAACACACCAAAAGTCCTGGTTTTGGGGTGGTAGTGTTTTAAATCTGGAAAGCTTCTTCCTGAAGCCATTAAAGATTCCTGACAATCTTACTTATCTTCCCCCAACATGTCTGCAGCCGTCATTATAAACTGCTCTGTCTTCATGGCTTTTGTTTGTTGACAATACAATTTTAGATAAATTTGATTAGAAGTCTTCCATGTTAAGAGTACAATAAGCATGCCTATATAAAGAGTGTAGACAAAGAAATTATGAGTACTTGTAATTTAAAATTGTTATATACAAGCATCTGAACAAAGTAATTCCCTGATTTTGACTTCAGCTAAAACAAAATACAGGAAACTCAACTTGCATGAGGTTTTGAAGAAAACAAATGCATAACACATTAAGCAAAGCAGAGAAATACAGAATCTACAGCTTGATTTATATTAAAGAAACTAAAAATGACAAATAGAAATAACCAGGGAAGTAAATAATGTTAACACTTACATCTAGTCTTATTTCATTAAGGTATTTTTCCATGGCTTTTTTAATATTTACCATCACATAGTGATCTCCAAATGCCTATTGATATGCTTTCACTGTACTGAATGAGTTAGAATTGTAGTGTTCACTGTAGCATACACCACAGCAAATGAGTAAGAACTAAATTACACATAAAAGTTCCAGTTTAGACTTTGACCAGGAATTACATTCAGCAAACATCTAAAATATTTTTAAAGAGGCAGTAGATTTTTTAGACTCTTTTTCTATGACAAAAACCTAACTGCAATTTATATAGCTATCTTTAATTAGAGAAGCAAAATAATGAATTTAACAGATTACACTTACACCAGATTTCCAGCAATACAGTCTGTCTGAAGATTAACATAGTCATCACATGGAAATGTTTGTACATTAAAATAACTAGGAAATGGCATTTCTTTTGGACTTGTATTTTTAACATAAAATTTCTTTTAAGATTTAAACAAGCATTAGAAAAATACTTCATAATAATTCATGATTCAATAAAATAATAGTTTTTAAAGTATTCGTGCTATTTATCTCAGACACTTTTTTGTTTGGGCAAAGGAAACAAACTAACGTTTTCTAACTTCACTTTCACATTGTTAAAAGTTAGCAAAACATTGCAATGTTTAAATTGTAGCCATTGGAAAAAAGTATTAAATAAAAATTTGTATAATGTTTTGTTGTTTTTATAAAGCTTCAAGAACATATTTTGATTGGTACTAGAGAAGTTTTGCAATTTAATTATTTGCAAAAATTTACACAGTCTAGTTTTGTTCAAAACAATGCCCTCTTAAAACTTTTCAGTGCAAGACTCTAGTTGCCAGACTGTCTGGTTAATCACATAGCATCTTTTTGCGAAGTTCTTTTCACCTTTCAATCAAACCCCCACTCTCCCCAAAAATTGTCCTTAAATGAATCTGCATAGTTAAACTGACAATGAAAACCTTTAAAATTAGTTTTAGAAAGCATTCATGACATGAATGAAAGTATGTACTGCTATTTTATTGATATTTGAGTGAAATTGTATTATCACCCAGCTGAAATGGATGGATGAAAGCACCAATCTCGAAACACTGCATAAAAATTTTCCCCAGAGCCTATTTAGCTTTGCTTCTGTTAAACACCTCACAGAGCATTCTTTGCAAGCAGATACCAAGCAGAACCACCTCTGACTGCAAGGTCAGGTCTGAAAAAGGGGAACAATAAAAAAGGACTTCATACTGGTTTTTGTTTCTCTTGAGTATATAATAGTTATGTCGGGATCTTAAGAGAAATGAGTCAAAACTAGCACTGATGTAGTGCAATTGCACAGAAGAAGGAATCGGTACCAACAAATCTGACAAATCTCCACACACCATTTCTGCAAGTAGCCTTAGAAAGAGATACTGACTGTGGTTTGTGGATTTACATTTAGCATCTTTAGTCAGATTTCTGTACCAGGAAATGAAACTCTTCTGGAGAGATGCTATAGCCTAAAAAGTAGACTATCTTAACTGCTTCTACAGAATGCGGATCTAGAGTGAAATGATTTATATGTTCTACATAATAGTTATTAATTTTACGAATAATAAATATCTACATACTTAGGAAAGTAAAGGGAAGAAATATATAAGAAAAGTAATAAGTAGCAATATTCAGAGAAGTTAAATAATAATTTTAACTCAGAGAACCAACTTCATTGGTCCATGGAGATGAATATCCCATCTTCGAGATATTTAAAAGGTTGAACCTAGTAATTGCACCTGCTCACATCTTTTACATAAAAGATCAAAATCTGTGATCAGTCCCTTTGAAACTCCAATAGGTACCAGTAAAACTTTAGTACTTTAGGACTTCCCATTCTCAAAACAATTCAGCATTCATTCTTATTGTATGACTTGCTACTTACTGATAAAAAGAACTAATATTCATTTTCCTGATCAGTTTTATATTTACTTAAAAAAAATTTTAGAAAGGAAAAACAACTAAAAAAAGATTCAGTGCTGACCCAAGCCTCTCTCCCTTTTTTACAGCCAAACTGTGCTCAAATATTAAGTTCAGATATTTAGTTTTATTGCAACCTAAAAGACAATCTTGCATAAATCGCTATCCTGCAGAAACATCCACTGGTGATGATGTACTATAAAACAATTAAAAACCACTGCCACATTTAGTAACTCCTCCAAAAGGGACAGGCATGTTTTCAGGTTACTTCAGTGGCTTTTCAGGCAAAACAGTTCAGGCTGGCTTATTAAACTCCTTTATGATGTCAGCTTGGCATGGACTCTGCCACCACAAGTTACCAGAAAGCTGAGTTCTGTGGTTATACATGAAGACCACTAGTGTAATATTTCAAGAAAAGTGAGATTCAGAAAAAAAGTTATTAAATTGATAGTGCATAGAGAATGCATTTATTTTTTGTACATATAAAAGTGTTCAGTGATTCTCCAAGAGAAAGAAAGAGCTTAACAAACCAAATGTCCAGTTAAACTGACCGTTCGGAGTCTTCTAGCTTTTCTTAATCCTCCATTTGCATTTATTCTTTCATTCATTAAAAACTTTGCAAGAGCCATCAGTAACATGACACTCTGAAACTTCATTTTCATCACCTAGAAACAAAATTTAGAAACTTGAAACGAAATATGCAATCTTGTGAAACTGCCACCAATTATTTTATCATGGTGCAGTGCTATGTATAGTTAAGAGACTTAATAATTTGCACCAGTTACTTTTCATGGTATTTCAACTAGAGAAAAAGAATGACTTTCAAGCATCTGACTTCATCTTTCAGCACCTGTTTTTGTAAATGAACTAGTTGCAAAACTCCCAATTTCCAATATTTTGAAAACCATATATTAACTACAAGTAGAGAATCAGCTAAATTGCTTTCTATTCATTATCAAATTTGCAATTTCTCTGAATATAGATATTTGAGTGACTAGATTTTCCCTTTCACATTGAAACACCAATGGTTTCAGTATACACTATATAAAATGACCTGAAGGTCTGAAACATGTTTTCAAACAATTTGCAAGCAAATCTAGCAAGCTGTTAGCAGTCAAGGTTGCATGCACATCCTGGCATATCAAGTCTATTATTTATAAAAAGGCATCATCCATAAGAATGCACTCTAATGTGGTTGCCAAAAAGCAGTATTTTTCATTATGTATTTTATGAATTAACACATTTAATTCTTCAACACGGTGAGGATGACTTTTATAAGAACAAAATAATAAACTCCTGAATTGTTTGAGAAATTAGCTTGCTTGCATAAGATGAAAAACTTTGATTTATCTTTTGGTCAATGAAGTTTTAGTTGCTCAAAATTTAATTCAATGGCTACTTTAGAACATTTGTTAATTTTTCATTTCAAAGAAATGTATGAGACCAGTTCAAAATGTTTAGTGATTAAAGAAGCCTAAAATCAGCTCTTGCCAAATAGGTTTCTTTGATTACTTTTGGAAAATACTGAAGGGTACTCTCCATATTTACAAGCCTGAATGCATATATAACTAAAAATCATTTGTTTTTCCTCTGTCAGCTATTTAAAGTCTTAGTCCTTGAGGCGGTAGAAAAACAACAAATTACAATCCATTACTGATTACTAATTTTAAAATTATAGCCTTTAAACTAGTCAAAATTTATTATAGTAATTTTTGTGTAATACAACTAAACCTGGTTTTCAGGTGCAATTTTTCATTTAAATCCAATATTTAAATACAGTGTCATGTAATAAAGGGAGAACCAATTAATTATGTTAATTTTATTTAGTATTGCATTGAGGCCCATCATTTTCAATCACTGAGCAAGACTGATGGCAAGTAGGAGAAAAAAACCTTGCCACTAAAGAAAAAAAAAAGAAATTTACCTCTTTTTTTATGAAAATTTACCTATTTTTTACCTCTGTTTTGTGAAAAACAGACCTTTTAAACATATATTTTCAATCTTAAAAAAATCTACAAACTACATGACTGCATAGGATGTTGGGAGATCATCTACTCCACTGCTTTACCCCAGGCAGTCTCTGGTAATTTCCAAATATCCTTTAAGTCATTTCAGGTACCGTAATACCTGAAATTTATTTTTTTTTTTGAGGGGTGGTTTGGGGGATGACAGTGAAAAGTGGCGCAATATTCCTTTTGCCACTCTTGACCTGAATGCTCATGCTCCACAGCTCTTGTTCCACAGCTCTTGTCCCACTTGGGATTAAAGTCTCAAGACCTGTATTGTTGGACCACTTTCCAGGCAGGGTTCACTCCCATAGGCTCATCATATTTATAGGAAGGCAGGAAGAGGGAATAATGTCCCTCATCTCTGATTATCAGCTCAGGGATCTTAGGCATTACATAAATAAGGACTATTCTTTGCAATCTAGTTCCTACTAGTTCCTAACTATCAGGAATTTTCAAGCACTTTCCAGATTTTCCCTTCTGTAGGTCTCAAGCTTCGGTGTTGTCTGTTTTTCCCTGATTGCTTCTTTTTAAAGCAGTTACTCAGGCATAAATAAAGAGTTTTCATCTTTAATAGCTTTTCCTAGGGTGCTTCAGATAAAGTTGACAGAACTTTTTGAAACAATTCCATTCACTGTTATCCTTAAATTAAGTTGAAATATGCAGGTAACTCATACCATTGTGGTCCATTAGATCTCCTAAATGCTCTTCTAAAACATCACTCAGTGATGGGTACCAAAATTAACAGCTCTCTGAGGTATTATAACAAATTAGAGTGATTTTACTTTGCAATTTAAGTTTCTACTCATTCATGATAATTTTATCACCAGTGACAAGTTTTGAACCAGAATATGATCTTCAAAATTATATTTGATATTTCCATTGAGTTAAAAAGCAATGATTAGGCACAATGAGCTAGTTTTGTTCAATCAAATAAATCATGTCTATCTAATAAAAATTTTATCTATAATGTTCTACTTAAAAAATATTGTACTGAAGTGTTACTTAAGTTATGTTGTATCTACTATTTTGTACTTATCTACAGTTATTTATCCCAGCTATGAAGAAATTAAGTCTGAATTTATCACCATTAGTAATCCTTCAGGTATATATGCACAGAATATTTAATAACTTTTTTTATTATTATTGTTGGAGATATTAATCCAGCATGGGCAAATACCAAGTTTTTACTACAGAGAACACAATTTCTTCAAGTCTTCTGAAAACTTATGTGACCCTCATGTTCTCAAAGAGACCCTGTTAATGGTTTAGAACAATTTTATGTAGTTTTTAGGTGCTCTAGGACAAGTGTCATCAGGTTTTGTAAACTTGACTAGATCAAAATAAACCTCAGTCCTCTATTCAGACATACTTGTCCTTTTCTATTTTAATTATTAATTACAATCAAATTTTTTGTGAAGATAAATAAAACAAAGAATCCAGGAAGAGTTTTCTTCTTCATGCCTCAATTGTCTTGCAAAAAGACATAATAAAATGTCAATAGAAGACATCATACAATATTTTTTAGTGAGCTTGTCTTTTTCCAAAACTGAAAAAACCAAAAGGCACATCAAGTCTAAGGAAGTTTTCATGTGTGTGCTTTTAAAGACATAAACAGTATTTTGGCAGCATTAAGCCTCATAGCACCTAGAAACTCCGGTAAAACTCATTCACCTAAATTAAACTTAATGATTTCTTGCACCAAATAACAGAATGATATTTCAGATTTCCCATCTTAACACTTGACTACATTAATTACACTACAATGGGTCTTAGTTTATGTCTTTTGGCCAATTAAGATAATATTTGCCTCCCACATTCACCATAGATATCTAAAATTCACTCAGCTAAGCCTTAAGTTTATTTTTAAGACTGGAAATAATGCTAAGTCTGAATTCAAGTTTCTAAATTATTTTAGTATGATAAAAGCTTAAATGAGCATACTCTTGCATTCCTTGCCCATTATTATTTCAGCTTGCAGATTAAGTCACATAACTTGGACTGAACTGAAAGAAGTAGCCATATTTATGTCTCTGTTGCTCAGCAGAACTGGGCAGCCTTGAATGGACCCTACAAAGGAGCTTGCTACCACATAAGCATTAGGGCTCAAAAAGTTAGTTTCAGATTACCCTGCATATTACACTTCTACTTTAAAATCAAATGTTCCAAATAGGAAAGGAAACTTATAAAATCTTCTTGTCATTAAAGACACCGGGGAAAAGTGCTACTGACACAAAATTGTAATCAAAAAAGTGGGCAAGAAAAATGTTTGGTATTTAAAATATATAAAAATATAATAAAATTTTATATGACTCCTAATTGTATATTTTACTCCTAACTGTGTATATATATATATATATGATGAGTGAAAATAATTCTTTGGCTTGTAAAAATATTTTACTGCATTTACCAGCTTTAAAATAATATACAATATACAGAAAAACAAACAATTTACTATTTATTAACTAATAGGGACAAGAGTCAACTTGCATTTAATAAAAAAAATAAAAATACTCAACCTGTATTTAATAAAAATCAATTGTTCCAGCATACAGAGTCACAGCAGAAAGTTTAAAACAAGAATTTCATTTTTTTCCACAAAACTTGCATTATTAAGGAAAATACAACTCTTCTTTCATTACTGACTCCTTCCATTTTGAAGTGAGCTCATTTGAGCTGTCAAACTCAAGTTTCTACTTGACTGCACAACAGATGCATGAAGCTGAATATATTATATTTGGGAAAATGGTCATCACTGATAAATCACAAATACTATTAAAATCACTAGAAACACAAATTGAGACTTACAGACGTTCCTAACAAAAAGGATAAAAAGTATACATTAGATAGCTTTTGTTTGCTGAATACTGTTCCTTTTTTTCTCCTCCAAAATCTCTTATTTTAAACAACTTGTCCACACACACACACACACACATGGCTGGGCTTCGCGAACGAAGATTTGGGAAGGCTCTATCCGCATTTGCTACAGGCACGCTGGTGGCTTATGAGGCCAATACGTGACAGACATATCCGATTACAAAAGGCACAGCAGAAAGATTCCTTAGATGGTGTATTCTGCAATATATGGTTCTTTCTGCGTTGCCTTTTTTCCTCAAGAGTGATCCTGCGTGTGTTCTCAAAGGAGACAGCAGCGTTATAGATGGTGTGTCTCCAGACCTCCCGATTTGAGGCCAGAGTAGACCAGTGATGAAGATCAATATGGCCAAGGCTGAGATGTTGTTTCAGGGAGTCCTTGTATCTTTTCTTCGGGGCTCCTCTCATGCGGCAGCCGGTGGCAAGTTCACCGTAAAGCAAGATCTTAGGGAGGCGGTGGTCCTTCATCCTTGAGACGTGCCCTGCCCATCACAGCTGTGTTCTCATCAACATGGCCTCAATACTTGTGATAGCTGCTTGCTCTAGAACAGATGTGTTGGTCACATAGTCTGACCAGTGGATGTTTAGGATTGTGCGGAGGCAGCGTTGATGGAAGCGTTCTAAGAGACGCAGGTGGTGGCGGTAGATGACCCATGATTCGGATCCATATAAGAGAGTCAACAACACTATGGCTCTGTAAACACTGATCTTGGTGCTTTTCTTCAGGTGTTTATTACGCCATACTCTTCTGTGGAGTTTTCCAAAAGCACTATATAAACAACTTGTCCAGCATGACAATAAAAGCATGACATGCTAGAATATAGATCATAATTTAATCACTAGAATTTAAAATTTGGAATTAACTGACATATCTAAGTTTAAATGTAGCAAATAAGTCTGACAGAGTTCAAGAAGTGCTTGGACAATGCTTTCAAGGCACATTGTGTATTCTTGGGGCTGTCCTTAGCAGGGCCAGGAGCTGGACTTCAATGATCCTTGTGGGTCCTTTCCAACTCAAAATATTCTGTGATTTTTCTCCTTCCGTATTTGTTTCCATGATTGTTAAATGAAAAATTGACTGTTCTTTGACATTAGGAAATATATAGTTTAGGAATAGTCTTCTAGCGTATTGCTCCATGGCAAAAATACACATACAGTATGTTCACATATATTTTAGAATCATAGAATGGGTTGGAAGGGACCTTAAGATCACCTAGTTTCAACTCCCCTGCAATAGGGGACACTTCCGTAGATGTGGTTACTTAGAGCTCCGTCCAACCTGGCCTTGAACACTTCCAGAGATGAGTAGTCCACACCTTCTCTGGGCAACCTGTTCCAGTGCCTCATCACTCTCACAGTACAGAATTTCTTCCTAATATCTAAGCTAAACCTACTGTCTTTCAGATAAAGACCACTCGCCCTTGTTCTACCACTACATGCCCCCTTAAGGTATTGGAAGGTGCTCTAAGGTCCCCCCAGATCTCCTCTTCTCCAGGCTGAACATCCCCAACTCTCTCAGCCTGTCGTCACAGAAGTGCTCCAACCATCTGATCATCTTTGGGGCCCCCTCTGGACTCATTCCAACAGATCAACATCTTCTTGTGCTGGGGCTCCAGAGCTGGATGCAGCACTCCAGGTGGAGTATCACAAGAGCAGAGCAGACAGGGAGAATCACCTCCCTCGATCTGCTGGTCATGCTTTTGATGCAGCCCAGGATGTGGTTGGCCTCTTGGGCTGCAAGTGCACATTGCCAAGGCTTACTGAGCTTTTTGTCCAAACACCCCCAGGTCCTTCTCCCCAGGACTGGTCTCAATCCATTCTCCACCCAGTCTCTACTTGTGATTGGGATTGTCCTGACACACATGCAGGACCTTGCACTTGTCCTTGTTGAATTTCATGAAGTTTGCACAGGCTCACCTCTCAAGCCTGTCAAGGCCTCTCTGGATGGCAACCCTTCTTTCCAGCATTGTCAATCACACAGCTTGGTGTCATCGGCAAACTTGCTAAGGATGCACTTGATCTCACTGCCCATATCACTGACAGATGTTGCACAGCACCAGTCCCAATACCCACCCCTGAGGAATGCCACTTGTCACTGATTCCCACTTGGACATAGAGAAACCGTTGACTATAACTCTTAAAAGTGTGACCATCCATCCCATTTTTTATCCACTGAGTGATTCATCCAACAAATCCACATCTCTCCAGTTTAGAGACAAGGATGTCATACAGGACAGTGTCAAATGCTTTGCACAAGTCCAGGTAGATGACATCTGTTGCTCTTCCCTCATCCACCACTGCTGTAACCCCATTGTAGAAGACTACCAAATTTGTCACGCGTGATTTGTCTTCAGTGAAGCTATGTTGGTTGCCACCAATCACCCCCTTATTTTCCATGTGCCTTAGCATTGTTTCCAGGAAGAGTTGCTCCATGATTTTGCCAGACACTGATGTAAGACTGACTGGCCTGTAGCTCCTGAGTCTTCCTTATTTCCCTTTTTAAAAATGGGTGTTATGTTTCCCCTTTTCCAGTCAGTGTGAACTTCACAGGACTGTCATGCCTTCTCAACTCAAATATGATGGATACTGGCTTAGACACTTCCTTGGCCAGTTTCCTTAGGATCCGTGAATGTATCTTGTCAGGTCTCGTGGACTCATGCATGGGAACCTTCACATTCCTTTAATGGTGTCAAACCCAGAGCAGGTGGTTCTTCATTCTTCCAATCCCTGCTTTCACCTGCTGCAACTTGGGCAGTGTGGCCAAAGCACTTGATGGTGAAGTCCGAGGCAAAAAAACTGGAATAAGTCAGCATTCTCCATGTCCTGGATAAACAGGTCTCCTGTATCCTTCCTGAGAGGACCCACATTTTCTAGTCTTTCTTTTGTTGCTGATGCACCTAAGGCAGCTTTTTTGTTACCCTTGATGTCCTTGGCCGGATTTACTTCTGTCCATGCTTTAGTTTTCCTAACCAGATCCCTGGCTCTTTAGACAATTTCTCTGTATTCCTCACAGGCTATCTTTTCCTGCTTCCGTTCTCTGTAAACTACCTGTTTGCATTTAAGTTTGTCCAGGAGTTCTTTGTTCATCTATGCAAGCCTCCTGGCATTCTTCCATGACTTCCCCTTTGTAGGGATGCATTATTCTTCAGATTGGAGGAGACAACCCTTGAATATTATCCAGCTCTCTTTGGTCCCTCTTCCCTCAAGGGCCCTAGCCCACAGTACTCTACCAAACAGATCCCCGAAGAGGTCAAAGTCTGCTGACCTCAAGTCCAGAGTGGTGAGCTTGCTGTGTGCCCTCCTCACTGCCCCAAGGATCCTGAATTCCATCATTTCATAGTCACCGCAGCCAAGGCTGGCCTTGAGCTTCACATTCCCCACCAGCCCTTCTCTGTTGGTGAGGACAAGGTCCAGCATGGCACCTCTCCTTGTCGGCTCCTCTATCACTTGGAGAAGTAAGCTGTCATTTATGGGTGTACATTTACAACACACCTGCATCCACTGATTTTTAAACTGTGCTGTAACGATGCACTTCAGGTATTAAAATACAGATGTAGTGAACCCAAAATAGCAGATCACAGTTCAGCAACTAATTACAGATACAGGGCAGTCACCGTTCAACATTTCAACTGGATTTCATAACTCTGACGTCAACTTTGTTGAGCCCTTTAAGTTAATAATTAATTTCATATAATTCATTGATGAACTGCTACAGAATTTTCTAGGAAAAACAAGGTACTAAAATATACAATTATAATTACAAATATTCAACTCCATGTAAAGTTTGACAAACAGAGCTCAAAATATCATAATTGGAAAATGACTACCCCAATACAAGTTAGGACCATTTTGCAGGGAACTTCCTGAGATTCAATATTTTATTATACATTTTCATTGAAGTACCTTAAGCTAAACAAACTCGAAAATGCTTAAATATAAAAAATATTCTTAAAATTATTATTAAAGACGAAGATCAATTCATATAAAAAAGTCATGGTTGAAGAAGATGCTTACATTGCAACTCGTGTCTTATTCCATCTTCACCTCTGAACAAGTTAGAAATTGCTAACTCAAGTATTTTTTCCACCATACATTTTATGCTCCTATTCGCAATTTTAGTAGAAATTTTTACTTGTGAAATAAAAATAGTTTGAACAAGGTAACCTATGATGAGGAGCTACTTTACAAGAGCACCATAACATTTAAAAGAGAAAGACCTTGGTGTCTTAAACAGATTTTGAATAGCAGCAGAAATTTTTCAAAATACCGAACATTAAGAGAAAAGAAGGCTCAACATTACTTTTGTTATATATAGTAAACAGTTTTCTATCTCTTATGACTTCTTTGTATTTTTAATGTATGGGAAAACAAATAGGTGTTCTTTTGGATCCTATGCGCTCATTTATTTTACTCAGAAATAAAGTCAGTACTGCAGCATTTTCTTCTTTTGGTGTGTTTCTGAAATATTTTCCCTTTTGGAATGCTGGTATATTTTGCAATTTAGTTGCATGAGTATATCTAATGCAGTATGATATCTTTTGATTTTCCAGCTCTAGGTAGTAACTTACCAGTAGTATGAGCACAGTAATTCACATTGTTTCTGTAGGACTTTCCATGAGCATGCTGAGGCAGCCTATTCACATCACCAGAATCTAGAGCCTCTGCAGTGCCACCTGATATATTTAATGGCATGTTTCTGGGAAGTTTAGCTGGTTCCAATTTTTTCTTTACTGGAAAATCATGCACTGAAATAGACTTTTTCCTATGTTTCTTGGTAGTATTATGTGGCTTAGAGAAACTCACATGACAGAAGTCCCTGCTGGCAAAAGAGTCTTTGCAACAAACTTCAGGACGACTCTGTGATTCATCTGGCACTCTTATCTGTACCTGATTTTCATTTAAATTAGATGATGAAAAGAAGTCTTCATAAGAAGCCTCTTCAGTACAATACGACTTGCTAGTAGTTACTGCTTGCAAGAGCCCTTTAGACCCTGCTGCACTCAGTTCTGAGGTAAACAACTTCAAATTAGGTAATGGTTGTAGTTTCTTCCTCTTCTTGACTTCAAGAATACTATCATTTTTGTCAACAGGGAAGCTTTTATCCAGTGAACATGTATTTAAGTCTTCACTATTCATAGGTGAATTAGAGAGACTGTCAATCAAAGAAGGAACAGTATTTAGCTGCACTATTTTTTTGGAAGGAGTAATATGATCGAAGTCCCTGAGAAGAGAACTTTCATTTACAATTGAAGTAGTCTTGCTCTTTTCATTCTTCTGATTTTTCTTTGGAAACTTTGGTTGTTTCTTTTCTAAAGACAATTTGTCATCCAAAGTGTGCTGTATAATCTGTTTCTTTGTTAAACTACTTCTGGTATGTCGTTTTGGTGTTAAGCTTTTTTGCTCATTGCCCCGTGATGAAGAATTCACTGATGCACTTGTGGATACAAAACTATCAGTCCAAGTATCACAGGAGTGTTCTACTACCTCTGTTTTCTGTCTCTTTAATTTCTCAGTTCCCCAAAGATAATCATAACTTGAGTTCAAGCAGTCTTCAATTTGTTCTCCTGCAGAACACAGAAAGTGTTGATATAAATTTATCGAACAAAACAGAAAGAGTATCAATTTCTCAGTAAAACATATAAGGAATTACTGAACCAAAAAAAGGATTTAGCCACTTCTCTGGATATTATATAGCAAGTCATCAAAAACTAAACAGAAAATGGATTAGAAACAAAGCACATTCTACGTTGACAAGAACCTACGACAGCTTTAGCTATCATATCTCCTTACCTGGTCATTAAGCTCCCATAAGTCCTGTTCTGCTTTCTTGAAACAAAGTAACAGAGAAACTCACTTTCACTCTTGTATTTGTGGAGAAAACCAGCAAGATTTTACTGATAAAGCTTGCTAGAGTAATACTGGAAACTCATTAACCATTTTTGCTACCACAGTGTTAGCACCACCTTGTAGCTTTTGCAGTCAAGAAATTAAATACGGCATCATAGTATCATACCACATACCTCGACACAACGTATTAAAAATAATTAGAGTGGAAAAATGTATAATTTCTTGTAGCAATGTTCAAGAAATTATTTTGTGCGAGGTGGTACACAATATATTCATAACTCTTAAGAAGAAATTCCTCTGAAACAAGATAATACCTCTGATTATTCAGAATACATTTTTAAAAATCCTGTTGTTCTACAATCTGATAATTGCAATAGATGCTTCTGCTTAAACAAATGTTGAGTTCAAAGCTTCAGCAATATTTCTGCAAGCGCTCCTGTGGATTTTAGGGGAAGTCTTGATGTTATTTGCTTAAAAGTATAGATAATATTTTTAAACATATGGTGTAGCTAACTACACTAAGAAAAATGAAATATATGGAAAAGAAAGGATCAGACTTTCAACTGACAGTTGAAGAGGTCTTAAATTCAGTCCTCAAATAAAACTGGCTTCTTGAAGTTTTTAACCATTATTAATCCATATATCTCATATATCTCTCAAGCACAAACAAAAGGGCCACTGTCACAAAGCATCAGAGATGGAAGCTACACTGAATGCTGTCACAGGATGTGGTGGTCTATTCTTAATGTAAAATTACATTGTGCAGTTGTAATGTTGAATGGACTTACTCAAGGTACAGCTCTCAAATTGCAATGTTCTTCCTCATCAACATGAAACTAATCTACAGAAATAAAAGAAGTTTGCTGGCACAGTTATGCTACTGCCAGTATTAAGCTATCACTTTTCGCTAACATTGCACAAAGACATACCAAGCTGTTTCAGGCAATGGGATAACGCCCCTATTCTCAGCTAAGCCAACATAACAGAACTCCTGTGTGATGTCAACAAAATACAGCACTTCAGAAAAGCACAAGGTACAGTTTACTGTTGGGGGAGAAAAGATAGCAGGCAAACTTCTCAAGCAGCCCTCCTTATGAATTCGAAAGGTTGTCTTCTCCTTGCATTTCCTTGCATCAAACACCAGCATCTGACTTGAGCTTTTTGCTCATGTGACTGACAGAAGACATGATGTCTGAAATACGTACCCATTGCATACATGATCAATACTGTTAAAATGCCCACTGATGTAGCTCAACAGACTTCACAATAATCTCTCTTACATCCTGTTAATATGCTAAAACACGGGAACAAACCCCTAACTTTATGAGAATAATTTTATGAGGGTCTTACCTTTCTAACAAATTATTTTAATTCATCTGCAACCATAAAATATTTAAAAAGCCAATTTATTTTTACTCTTGTTATATCTATCTTCAAACCTGACTACTTAAGCTAGAAAACACATTAGGCGTCCTTTCGAATTCAAGTCTTCAATAGAAAATTTGGAAGACATTTCAGTTCTTGCAATTAGCATCAAAGCCTTGGTATAGTAGAAATGCTTTTCAATATGTTTGAAGGTTTACCTAAAACTCAAAGAGAAAATAAATACGAGCCACACTAAATTACACTGAAGTTTAATTTTTCATCCATGTATCACTTTATCCTTACTTATATCTTTACTTTCCTCTCACAATTATTTTTCAAATTAGAAACTCACAGTCTACTTGACACAGACATCTTAAAACTTCAAATACTACAGATTTGTCCCACCAAAAGATGTTCCACATTCAACAGTTTTTACAACTCGCAAAACCTAATGATTTAGACCTTAATATTTTCTCAGTAAGATAATGCAAGCACTAAAAAACATTTGAAAACTACAATCTAGATTTAATTCACCCGGATCGGCATTTTGAAATCAACTACATTTATTCAATTAGGTTATTCAAATTTATTTAATTTGTAAATCCTGTTGTTCAGTACCTACTCAAAACCTGGGAAGAAGGGAAGACATGCAATCAAGTAAGAGATTAAAAAAAATTTTGAAGGTGAGAACATGACAAGTGTGCAAAAAAGTCAGCAATAAAAACAGTAGCCAACTGTGCATGTTCATAGATAAGTAAAATTTAACTTCTTACCAGTAGGAGAAAGATTTTCTCTTTTTCTCTTCATATCCTTCATTCCTCTTTCAATTGCATTGCATTGATCTTTCATCTTACTAACAGGGCTGTATATAAGTGAACCATTGTCTTCAAATAGTAAAACTGGTACATCCGTTTCTACACAAAGAAATTGTATTTATATATTAATATTTAAATGCTATAACAACTTCAGATGAAGTTTCATTTTTCTTTCGAAAAAACTTAACAAAAAATAGTTTCCTTATATCTAACATCCTTACAGATGCCTTAACACCACAGACTTGCAAAGAACTCTGTAAAAAGTCAACTTCATTTCTCATGGCGAGATGCATAAAACTAAAAAAAAAAAACCCACCAAAAACCAAAACCCCAACAAGTGCTTTAAAGAAATAACTTCAGATAGTTGAATGTTAGTCGAAAATAGTTCTTACCAGCATTAATTGTTGTCTTTTGTATAGCTAAATCTTTAGCCATCTGGTCCAGTCTTCTCTGAAGCTTTCTATCATTTTCTGGAGTTTTTTCAACAAAATCTTTTGGCTGCATACATTTGTGCTACAAGACACACAAAACTATTAGCTACATAGTATAAAACTGCCAGAAGTAACTATACTTCCTATTTGCCTATCTCTTCATCACAGTATTTATTATTGGTGTTTATGCTACTTATCTTGAGAGTCACAGATAATTGCATACATTTTTGAAAGTGAACTTTAATATGAAGTAGGAAAGAACCTAATAGATCTTTACTGTTTGCAGCAAAGCTAAAGCTTTAAAGGTATTTTTTTTTAAATAGAGTTTGTTGCAACTCAATGAAACATCATTTTTTATTCACCAATACAAAAACTGTATTTTAGTATACTTTCTTCAGGTAAGATGCCACATGATCACACCAACAGCCTATCTTTAAAATCCTATTTAGATGGATAAGTACAGTTTACAGAATGTCCTGAAAATAAACAGCTCAAATGCCTGAGGTCAGAAAGTTAAGTTCAAACTTTAAAGCTTGCTGTTCTAGGCCTATTTAAAAAAACATAAAAAAAATCACATACTTTTTTGATCAGTAGTGGAAATCCTTCACTAGTGTTCAGTGGAGGAAATAAGGACTCATCAACACGTACTCCAGTTTCTTGACACCTGTACAACAAATTAGAGCAGGTTTGCTGAGGTTTTCTTCTCTTAGTTTTGTTTGTTTGTTTTTAAGAATGAGAACCTTTACTGCAAAAAAAGCCACCTGAGCTCTGTAATAATGTAACACCAATCCTTCCTAAGTGTGTAACTTTAAGGTAACTACTGTAATGCTAAAAAATCACCCGAATCTATACCTTACATGCCAGATATGTGATACAGTTTTTTGTGCTAATGACGCCCTCTAAATTGCTGTTCTGAAACTGAAAGATTCCCACTCATTTTGCACACATTCCAAAGTTGTGGCTGAAGTCCTTCCTGCAGCCACCAGTGTGGCTCTACTGACACCTAGTGATGAAACTGCTAGAAAGTCTGTGGCTGTACAATTATAATCTAATCCTCAGTTACTCAATTCTGAACGAATTAAAAAGCCAAACTACTCTGTGCATTTGTCAAACAAACTGAATTTAGAATTCACTGGAGCATCAAAAACAGATATTCAAAACGGTGGACTTTTGTGACTGTTAATGAATTCTGGATAATAATCAGCATAGATGCAGACGACATGAAAAATTACACTAATTCAGAGATTTCGTTGATTCAGAGATGCTAAACAGAAGAAAATTTGGCCACTAAATATATTATAAGAATTTTTGCATACAATTCTGAATGTAAATGATTTATCATTTATTTGTGAGATGAGTTAAGAATATACAGGTAGAGTTTCACAATCATGGGTTCGATATGGAAGCATTAAGTGTTCCTAATTTGGACACAGATTGTAGCAATTCTGTCTTTTATAGGGTTCTTTTTGGTTTGGGGTTTTGATTTTTTTAGGTTGCTCACTGTATTTGTGTTGAAGAAGATGCAAAAAGATTTTTCTCAGTGATCCCAAAGCTGTCACTCATTTTGCATTAAACTTAAAATTTGTTTGCACAATAGCAAATCCATGATTTTGTTCACTGTTTTTAACATGAGACATATCTACTATTCTTAGAAAGGAGACAAAAGAAAAGGAAACTAAACAACTTTTTTAAAATTAAAAATACCTTTACTCTGGAGTTACAAATTTTTTTAAACTTCAATTGTCTATGTTCCACAGAATTCTTGTTTAGACATGGTCAGATACAACACTGTATTTATGTTTTGATAAACATTTAATTGCTTCAGCAATTTTCTAAACCCATGTAAATCTTTGCTGACTATGTTTCTGCATCAAGGAGTTCTGTTGAAAATCATCATTTACTGTTTCTCTGAATCTGCATCCAGGTGTATGCATGTGATGCTTTCCCATTCTTCTATTGGAAAGGAAAATATACATTCATTTCATATTCAGTCTCTCTATATGAACATTTGTATTCACAAGAGTCTCCCTCCTCCACTCCCATTTCTTTTCCTGACTGAAGCATTATTGTCTCTTCTATCACATCTTATAAGAAAACTTCAGTAATGCTAATTGCCATCTCTGGCAACATTCCAAATGTAACCACAATAAAATGCTGTCATTCCATTACATGAAGTTTTATGTTCTGTTTAATATGATTTGTGACTACTGCTGAAGTGACAATGTTATGGAAATGTTTACTGTAAGTCCCAAAATGTGATATTCATCTTCTCTCTGATATGCTTAAGAGGACTTATGCTTTAAATAGTCTCCTTGACATTAAGAAGAATTTTATTCCCTTTACTGTCTTAGCTTCTTAGCAGAACTACTTCCACTTCAAGCAGATTCCCTTTTGAATTTAAGCACTGTCACAGAAGTTCCTGGGTTTGGTGTTCCAGTACGAACATATATTTTATACTGTGGCCATACTTACAAAAATTACTTAAATATTTGAAGAACCATCCACAAACCAATTAAGACCAAACAATAACTAAGATATTTGGTTTGCATTGCACTCCAATAGGAGTCACCCAACCCCCAGTCTACACTAGACAGTTGACACTTAGTATTACATTTCCTGAAATGATGTTTCACAGCATTTCTGATCATTCTGAGAATGTTCCCCTTGCTATTGAACGGAGCAGCTGGTTAAACCATCCATCTTTTTTAGCAATGCTAAAACTTCAACTCATAGGAACTCTGCATTATTTGCTTACAGAGTTGTCAGGTTTAAACTAAGCTTCCATCCACACAGGACAACTATTCTACTGGCACACACTCTTTACATTTTCCCAGGGTTCAACAGACTGTCTTCTGCCTATCAGTGTCTCAGATACTGATATACAAGGCATACAATTTAAAGTCAGGCACTCCAGGTTCCTCATCTTATTACAAAAAAAAAAATTGAATGCTAGCACAGACTGATTTAATTTTGTACTGCCTGTGCCTCATTTGCATAACCCTATGACTAGTAAGAATATTTATTACTATCTCTTACGTAAGCTTCTACCACTCCTGACCTATACTTTGCTCAAGGATATGATATTCCCATAAATTCTGCCTACAGTATGCACCAATCTAAGCTGTATGTTCTTCTGTTCTTCTTTTGGCATTTACTTTAAACTAAAAGGCAGAAGAAAAAGATTACAGAGAAGTTCAATCATAATTCACAGCTTGGGTCCTCCTCTCCAACAAAATACCTCTATTTCAGGGAGTCCCCCAGTTCCAACAAACTTCATCTTCTAAGCCGTATACCAAGACCTTGCCTTGGTCTGAATATGATACTAGGAACACTTAAAAAAATACCAGGAAGATGCTAGCCTTCTCCTTCCTACCAAACAGCTTAAGTTTTCCCTCCAGATCCTTTTTCTTGTTTTTTTCCCTTTGTTGCTGGTATCCAGCAAAAGCTTCTTGAGGATTTTACTCCTGGATTTCAAAGTTCCTTGATGTCTCCTACAGTGTTACATATCCGGTTGTCTCTATGTCTCAACTTTCTATAGTGTTCATCCACTCAATGCCTTCCAGCATTGCAGAGAAGATTCTTGTGGTGGAACTGCTATTATGGAGACAGTATTTCTGTATGACACGTCCAAGACTCTCCCCTGTAAGGCACTCTCATTCTTTTTCCACGGCTGATGCTACTCACCTGCACTTTTTTGAGATTCTTTTTACTATAGCATATCCAAGTCCTAGGGAAATACGTTCACATAAATACAATTTTGCTTCACCTGCATTTTTTGGAACTTAAAGTATTTTTTCCTTGGTGTTAAAGCTGGCTGGATTGTGCGTCTGTAACTTCTATATCTGACATCCTTAAAAAAAAGAAAGAAAAACTCCTGCTTCTACAGAAATTTATTTTTATGCTAATGGCCTTGCATCACAAGTATTCTGGTTGTATTGGCCTACAATTAAGTGGTTGAAGAGATCAGATTTGCCCCCCCCCCTTTCTTAAAAAAACATATAACTCCAAAATTTTTGCACTAAGACTGCTATCTCTGTGCATATTATAATTGGTACAGGTAAAGCCCTCTTTACTTGACTTATATTCTAATTTTCATCATCACATCGATTTATTGATTGAAATGTTTGAATATAACACATGCATATTCATAAACTGTGTTTTGACACTTCATCTGAAATCTAAGTTAGGCCTCACAAGCACTTTGTAAACTCAAGAAAGGCAGCTCTGGACTAGTAAATTCTCATCGATCGGCTGCATAGCCAAAATTTTTTAAAAACTTTTTTTAATAAATTTAAATTTTTCCATATGGTAGAAGAGAATCTTCAAGTAGTGCTGTTCTGAACTTGACAAATGTCTTAAAAGCCAGACTACATATGGATCTTTTTCTTTCTTGCTAGGATATATTCTTTCTACAGAAGTACAGAAATAGTAAAATGCCCTTGATGAAATTTACTTTTTCATATGAAAATGGAAGACTTCTATTCAACATAAATACCTGGCCTTCACTGCCTATGCATGCCATCTGAAAGTAAGGAGCAGAACACTGAATAGTTAACAAATGTACTTTGAAACTACTTCAACACATTCATTTTTTAAGAGTTAACATTTTACCTTTTTATGTAAGTAACATGCTTTATAATAGGAATAATGTCATAGGAAAGTTACAATTTACTCATGGATTTATCACTATTTCAAGTACATTAATAGAACAGGTTCTGTACTGAAGTTTTTCAATAAAACAATACTAGAATCCATTATCTCTGAGAAAGGCCACATTCATCATAACCATGAGTACTCACTTTTCCACCCAAAGTACAGAAACTGTTTTTACGCCCATCTTCTGTGCTTTTTTCCATGTAGTCAAACGTCCATCCTTGAAGACTACATGGGTCACGTGTTTGTTCAAAGTTTTTGAGACCTGCAGAAGTACACAGAGAGCTCACCTGTAAGTCTGATAATAGGAAAATGCTAATGAAACTAGCTACTGTAGTCTATTTTAGTGTATAAACCATTAGCATAAAAACTTATTCAAAACATTATGTCAAAAACTCTTTTGATCTTTCCCATCTTTGCAAAAATCCTCAATCAAAACTCAAGCCTCATTTTTCAAGCCAATGCAGGCTAGAGGGCTAGAGTAGCCTTTTGTTTTCAAACTTCTTTTCTCTAGGTTACTAATTCCAGCTCCCTACTCTAGCTGTATCACTTATGTAGTGCAACATAATTTCTTATGCAACAGCCAGTATAGAAAGCAGATGCCACTATCTAAAGAAATACCAAATTATATCTTTTATTCAGCAAATAACTCAGGCTTAAAGAGTACAGCTAATCTCACTCTTTAAACCAATTCTCATCAATAAAGATTGCTGTTAGTTTTGAGGGAAGGCTAAAGGTGCCACTAAAAAAAATATATCTGAATGCTTTAAAAAGTGAGAAATACAGAAAATTAAAGTCAGTACACAGTTATATTCCACATCTGATCAAACTGTCAATTATCAGCTTCTACTGACAACTAAGCGATAATGTTTTCAGTTCTAGATATTCCATTCTTCACAGTCAAAATTTCCTTTGTGGAGACTAAACACCCTACACAGAACTGCTTGATCCGTTGTGACTGTTGACATGGTGAGATCAATACAACCCATTTTTTACAGCAGCAGCACCTTCTCAGCACAGCCAAATGTTGCTCTCTCAGCTGCACCACTATATTTGGCTCTCAGCATGCTGTGTCTGTATTTAGCTTTAAGAAAACTATTCAGCTTTGCAAAAAATTTCTGGTGGCAAGCTGATTTATGACTTCTTAGCAGACAAAATCCCATGACTTTTAAGTATCTAGGTATATGGGACAGATGAATCTCTCTTGGAATTAGTTATGACTCCAGATACAATTGCTTACTCACTTTTGCCAGTATCCAGCTGACAGCTCATGTCCTAAGGAGACAGATGCTTGATATAGCTTTGTCTCCAAATTATGGAGGAACACCATCTTATACATCCCTCTCACCCCTCCCACCTCCTCCCTTACCCCAGACGTCTTCTGCAGCTCAGCTGAACTTACCTGGAGACGTCTGAATCAACAATCTAGTGAAAAACTAATACAGAATTTAATTTCCTGACACAATGAGCCAAGCCAGTCTACTATCATGTGCTCAGCCAATAAAAGGGAAGTGTCTGGAATAGTGAAGGGGCATGACCACCCCTTTTCAGTCACAGGGATCTGCTAAATAGGCTCATCCACATCATCTGCTTGCACCTTCCACCATATTTGGCTACTTCAATCAATCTGAAGAATTTTGAAGCCCTATGCTTTTATCATATTTTCTGTGAGAAAAATCTATCATCAGAATTGAATTACAAAGATCTGATAGTACAGCACAAAAGAACAAGAAATATTTGTTACTTGAGTTATTTATTGAGAGTTGCGTTTGCTTTTATAATAAAACCAGTTATCCTACTGTTCTGTCACACTCTCTCAACTTATTTCATGCAGAGAGGACTGAGGGAGATCAGCAAGCTTTCTTAATTACAGTAAGATATATCTACACATGCCCACTTAAAGAGCACTGGGAGTTCACACAAATGTTTTTTAGAGCATGATGTGGGCTGTAAAAATCTCCATTAATCAGTGATAATGTGAAAGAAGGGAAGATGTGAGTCTGACTTTGGTCTCTGGCTGAAATTTTACAGCTGGCAATTAAACATCTTTTGCACCTACAAGTCAACTATATTTGGTATGGAAAAAATCATTTTGACATACGCTGAGTCTCTTAGATGTATTTTTACTAGCACTTTCTGGAACTGAAGAACATTTGTGGGAGAGGGAATGAAAGAGTAAAATGTCATGGTACTTGAGTTAGAAAATATTTTACTAATAACAGAGCAGCTGCCTACAAGTTAAAGAAAACAAAACCACCTAAGGTACATACTTGCAAACCACAGGTTTTCAACATTTTGATTTGTTTTGCCCACAGTACATGGCAAGCCCAATACTTCACAAGAAATGCAGGCTATGCCATTAATATGCAAAGAGGTTTCTAGATGTAGAGAGGCTTTAAATGCATTTCCCATCTGTCAGAGCAAGAATTTCACAGCACGTTGGTCTGCTCTCGGGTCTGTGATTTTCTTCCTTCCTGCCCTCTAAAAACTCATATTAAAAAGGAATATACATGACAGGCAGAACAAGCAAGCTAGTGCGTAATTAAGAGCTTTCCTATTCTATTTATTTCAAAATAGTCTCCTTACTTTGGCTCCCATATCAAGAAGTTGCTGTTCAAAGGTTTTTGAGTAATTTTCTGTTCTATTAGATGACCAAACTTCTACAAATGCAGAAACACCTGGATAAAAAGAGAGAAAGCAACAAACAACTAATAAAGTATATAACATGGTAAAACTGGTTAGGCTGCCTTTCTAATAAAATTTTGTCTCTATACATATTGTATTCACTTGCAAATATACATTTTAGTAAACTGAGTATCAGCTTTTAGCAGTAGAAAGTTTTTGTAAGTGTATTTATGTCCCTTAAATTAGTTGTAATTAAGCTAACTTAGAAGTCTGACACTAGTTAAACAACGTTTCACTTCACTTATTTAAAACACACTACCAGATTAACAAGCAATGTGTTATCTTTACATGACTGCTTACCCTTATCATTATTTAATCACTGCTAACTTCAGGTTAATCGAAAATTTGAAGACAAGCTGATGTAACACAAGTTACAGAACAAAATGAAATAACTACAATAGAATTATTCCTTCCCCAAACTCCCAGAAAACTCTACAGAAATATTACTTAACAGTTTCCCATTGACTTGAAGTTTCACTTTATTTATATCCAACCACCTCAAATTAGGTACATATAAGAGGGGCTAATAAAATTTCATGTCAGCTGCCTTATATAACTTTATGTATTCACATTTAAGTAGCTTCCTTTATCAAGCAGTTCAACGAACTCTTCAAGGAATGAAATCAGCCTTGGTTGACAAGGTCTTAAAACAACCAAACAAAGTCTTTAAAAAAAATCAATACAGAAGTACTGACATGGAGGGATAAGCAAATAAAACTCATAACAATCCCTTCATTAATTTTAATTTCATTTCAGGATGGGCACTAAAGTAAAACTACAGTTCCACTGGCCATGCCACTTTTCCGTTTTGATTGATGAATCAGGAAAGTTCCAGAAACTAGAGGCATATCAGTTCACCAAAAACAACTTTATACAAACCACAGGCCAGACAACTCTCAGAACTGATGAAATAAATTGAGAGTTTCAATTTAAAAGGGTCATCCTTAGCAAATATTGTTTAATTGTCTTAGTTACGACACATGCCTTGATGATTAACTATTAAGTAGTGCCGCCTGTCTTCTTTCTAAATGAAAACTAGAACAATGGTCCAACAGTAGAAGTACTTCTATAGATTAACATAGTTTTATAATTGCTAGAAATACTTTTGACATACAAGAGAAATATGGAACATAAACCACTTCCTTATTCAGTCCACTGGGAAAAATCTTATTATCAGTACTATGACTTCAGATATACACGGGAACTTAAATCTACTGCAGTGCACCAGCTGGGTTCATTCTACCGGGGCAGCATTTGACAAGAGTTGCTTTTTTCCCTTGATTCTTTTATTGTGAGAAACACTGCACTTGCATTTGAAGAGACACTATCTTCCTCTTACAGGAAATATTTTAGAACCTTCATAGTTATAATTCTCCTAGAAAAATAAATCGGACCATTTCAGTAAAGGCCACACTAAGAATTTAGAGGGATGCTACTTCAAAGCTCCATGTACCTGCAGGAGGATCAAAGGTATATTTCATGATAATTAGTCAATTTTAGGTAATCAAATATACTCCAAGGCCCTTTGTAGTTTTTGTATAGTTGATGGAAAGGAAAATGAAGAAGCGCTTTTTTCAACTAAAAGAGCTCTGGAATCCGAAAACGCCAGCTTATGCTTAGAAGGTCTTAGAGAAGGCGGTGATCGCTGAGTTGCCATTAGAGGGCAACTTGGCGAGGCAGAAATTTAGAGAGATGCAGAAGGAAGCCAGGACTGACCGGAGCAGGAAGAGCGGATGGCGGCTCCGAGCCATGCAGTACCGGGAGCCACCCCAGCGGAGCAGCCCGAGCGAGGCGGGTCCGGCCCGTCCCGGCACCTCACACTCACGCCGGGCCTGCTGGGCACGGCCCGCCTGCCCCGGAACGGCCGGGCCCCGCCGCCGGGACCGGGCGGGTTTGCGGCGAGCCAGAGGGACCTGAGGGGAGCCCTGTCCCCCCGCCACGGCCGGCCGCGACTGCAGCCTCTCACCCGCCCGGCCCGGCCACTTCCCGCCGGCTGCCCAGCCGGAAGGTGCCGGGGCAAGGGCCGCAAGGAGAAGGAGAACGGGACAGTGAGGCCCGCGCCAGCCCGGCGGCCCTTCTCGGCCGCGCCAGGAGAAGCCCCCGCGGGGCGGACGGGCCGGTACCTGTCAGAACGGGCTCCATTGGCGCCACAACCCGGGAGGCTCCGACGCCCGCCACCGTTCAAACCCGCCCCCGCGCCGGCCCCGCCGCGCCTGCGCTCTGCGCGGGGCCCTGCCGGAGCGCGGAGGGGGATCCGGAGGGCAGGGCCTGTGGAGGGGCTGGAGCAACCGGCGGCCGTGTCGTGTCCACACAAGTCTGGGGTGCGAAGTGGTGCGTGCTCCACGCGGTCCTGCTCAGAAACAGGTGTGTGCTCTGCCCAGCTCCGGCCCTGCCCTGCGCCGGCGGAGGTTCGTGACAGCGAATGCTGCTGGAAACTGTGCTACAGAATCACAGAATCACTAAGGTTGGAAATGACCTCTGAGATCATCAAGTCCAACCTATAACCAAACACCACGATGTCAACTAGACCACCAGGGATGGTGACTTCACCAACGCCGTGGGCAGCCCATTCCGTTATCTAATCATTAATTCTGGGAAGAAATTCTTCCGCATGTCCAACCTAAACCTCCCCAGGCGCAGCTTAAGCCTATGTTATATTGTCCTGTCACTAGTTGCCTGGGAGAAGAGACTGCCACCCAGCTAGCTACAACCTCCTTTCAGGTTGCTATAGAGAGCAGAGAAACCCCCTCTGACCCTCCTCTTCTCCAGCCTAAACAACCCCAGCTCCCTCAGCTCCTCCTCATGTGACTTGTGCTTCAGACCCTTCACCAGCTCTGTTGCCCTTGTCTGGACATGCACCAGCACAATGTCATTCCTGAACTGAGGGTCCTAGAACTGAAGACAGAACTCAAGGCGTGGCCCCATCAGTACCATTACAAAGGAAGAATCATTTCCTTCTTCCTGCTGGCCACACTATTTCTCTGCAGGTTGGGATGCCAGGACGTTTTGACAACCGAACACTAAGTGAATTTTCTGTGTTGCCATTCACCATGAGGAGTCCTCAGGAAGAATTTTAGTTTCTAGAAAGGTGCATCAGAGTACCAGTAGCCTCTCAACTCTCTGGTGGCGCAAACTGCAGTGTCTGAAGTGAAAAAGCCAGCAAAACAGGGATTAGCAAAGAGCACTATGAGACGGTATTTATGAAAGCTTACAAAATTGCTTGACAGCAACTGTACTATTAACTATAGTTAGTGCACCGTAGCGGGAACTGGCTTTGGTGCTAGAAGGCTGAAGTGTAGTAAATGTGATACCAGAGGGAAATTAGAGAAAAACTGATGGTTTCCCCAGGAAAAATGATAAAATGTATAAAAATTAATAGAATTAGTGAGTATAAAGAGATTTGCCATGAGAAAGAAGGAGTACATCAAGGAAAATGATGCTGCACAGCTTCACTATGCAACTCATACAGCTCAGGGGTTGCTATATGGCTGGACAAATATGCTTGTCCTGAAATCTTCAATGTGCAAACCTCATTTCATCATCTGAAAAATAATGTAGCAGATATGGAAAAACAAGAGAGATGCAAAACAAGGATACTGAGTGATTGCCTTAGCAGAAATCACTATTCAGACAAAATCTTGTCAGCTTGGAAAAGGAACGGTGGAAGCTGAATGTGCTAGAGGCCCTTAAAATCATAAACATATGCAGAAGGTGGACCTGGAGCAGTGTGTTCCCGGCGAGGGATAGCGAGCACCAAAAGACTGGCAGATGGCGTCTTCTTGGAAGAGATATTTCCACATTGTGCTTCATCAGGCTGTGGAAGTGTGTTCAGAGTGCTAGTAAACCACATGGTTTCTAGAAGCATATTCAGCAAATTCATGAAATCCATTTTAAGACTATAAAAAGTGTACAAAGCCATCTTTCCCTCAGTAAAGCCCTGAATTGTATATTGCTGGACTCTGAGAAGGTACATTGAATACTTTGGTGTTTTCTTTTCTTTTGTTCTTTGTTTCAGTAATTTCCCACTGGAGAGACAGTGCTGACCTAAAATACCTTTGGGTCCATTATGTCCATTCTTACTTTCATGGACAGACTCAAACTCTTGACCCCTAGGAGTCTTCCAAGTAGATGGCTGTACCAATGCTATTTAAGATATCTTAATTTATTATATAATATTTTAGCGTTGATTCAGTTTGTTTAATTTCCAGGGCATTGATATGGCACTAGATCTATGGCATATGTTGAGCACAAGTTCTTGGGTACTTCATCTGCTGAACCTGTGACAGACTTCAGTTTCGTGTTCACTATGTGTATAAAGTGACCAGTCAATCTACATATATATATATATGTTTGTTTGCATTTACCTATCTTTTGCATTTCTGTCAGTATGTTACACAGTATTTTGCTAGGCAAGAATGTAATATTTTTACCAAGGTACTCAACCTCGGTAAAAGGAAGTCTAGTCTAAAAGGAACTCAAGGAAAAGGGAGTCTAGTCTTAATGCAGTGTCTATGAACATTAATCTGAAGGCAATTTCAGAAGTGGAGGTAGGGGAGATTTAAATGTACACTTCAAACCCTTAGTAAAAAATCCACAGGCTGTGTTTGAGCCCTTATGTAAAAGGTAGTAGCAGGTTTTTAGATGCTAAAGGGAAATATACTGAATTGTACAGTTATTTCCGTGTGCTCTGATTCTACACTGGTAGAGAAAATGAAGAGTAGTAGTTGCAAGAAGATGTTATAATTCATTATCGGAGCAGATTAGGACTACTCATGAGAACACTGGGTTTGGAATGCCCACCTTTTTTATTACAGAAACAAATACATACAATGCCAAAAATATCCTACAAATTTACAGTTTTGTCCCAAACTGTTGACATTTTGACCTCAGAGCTACTTCAGGTTTTAAAAGAACTCAGTTATCAGATGGTGACTACCCTTCAGAATTCCGTGGGTAGTTAATAGCTGTCTGTTCTTGCGCCAGTATTGTCTTGCTGTCAGTTCCTCCTTAGCATTTATAATCCCGTAGTACTTACAGAAAGCAGCAATATATTTTTACAACTGCTGTTTTGTCAGCTTGAATACATCAGGCTGTTTTAGCTTTCATGCCATAACGAACTCCTGAAAATGACAACAAATGGAGCTTACTTACATTAAGTAAGTGCAATCTTAATAGGCTTGTTGTTTGGGTTGATGACATGCAATTTCATGGTGTCTATAAAGCTAGGAATGTAACATCAACTATTAGATTGACATGATTTCTGCACATTCTGTTACTAGGACATACAGGTTATAGAATGCAGCACTGGCAAGAAAGAGTTTTACAGGTAAATAATCTTGAGAAAGGAAGGAACAGTGAAAGTTACATTTCAACTGACCTCCTAATCAAAAAGAATTAATAGTCCCAAAAAAGTAAAAGTTTGTCAGGCATCCAAAGAATTTGAAAAACTAAAAAAACCCCAACAATGCAAGTAATTTTCCAAAGCTAGGTAAAATATGAAAAAGATCTGTATTCTCAAGTCTTTTCTTTGCTAATTCAAGAGTCCTTCTCAGCCAGCTCTTAACTGATTGATATAAATTGGAAGGAACCTTTGGGATTGTATTTTGTAAGGCTATATCACAGAGACAAGGTTCATTTCTCAGCCACAGAGTTCAGATGGTGGGCTATGTATTACTTACTCCCTAAGGCATGACATTAAGTGTATGAAAGATACTTAGAACAAATAAGGAGGTTTGCTATTATTAAGTGGAGTCTAATTTTGTGTATTGATTATTGGGTGGTATTTGTTTGTTTCTTTGGTTGGTTGGCTTTATGTTTCCAATTTGGGCAAACAACAGCTTTAACCTTTTGTATTTCTTTTTTTTGACATTCTTAAATTTCCAAGTGTAAGTTATGTCCCAGATAAACAACTGGGGTGCACTACTTCCTATAAATCAGTAAATCCCACTCAGTCAGTTTGTTTCTTTAATACCTGAACACTTGTGTAACAATTGCAGTTATCATCTCTAAATGCTACTTGACCACTACAGATGTAGAGGCAGGAAGAAGTGCTTGGAGGAGGTACAAACTTGCATGGTCCCTTCATGGAGAAAGCTCCAGAAAGCAACTGTGAGTGTCCACATCCACTATCATTGTCTCCTCTGAAAAAGTAGACTCTTCATTTTCTCAGTGAGCCCAACAGTTCTTCTCTGTTCCTGTTTCAGTTTGAATTTTGATTTGTTAAGTAGCACACAAAATTGTACAGTGTATCTGTTGTGTACTATGCCATTAACACTGGACTGCTAGATACACTTTACATAATTCACCCTATGATCTTTTTCTCGGAACCACATAATTATTCTGTGATAGACTTATATTTCCAGCTCATGAGTTATGGCATCGTAACTGCTTGTTTATTAGTTTTCAATTTCATTGCATTCCAATATGTGAGCTCATCCAATTGTTTTTGTATTCTGGTCTGCCTCTGTTTTAATAAAGCCTCTGTTCAGGCCATCTGCAAATTTCATTAGTACACACTTTTTTATTTCCAAGCTCATAACTAAAATAGTAAGTAAGATGAAATCTTAACTGTATCTAGCTGGAGCTATGACTGGGTCTTAACTGCACCTTCAGGATCTCTATTAGAATATTCTTTAGTTCTCCCTCTCCTTATGCCTATTTACCTTATATCTTATACCTATTTACCTTCCCCATTTAGGACTTGAACAAAGCCCCTTCTTCTTCTTCTTCATATGTAGTAGTAACGTAACATATATCAGATGGTTTATTAAAGGATCTTAGATTTAATCTTTGTTACCTCCGTCTAGAAAATAGTTTTCTTATGAAAAAGTGGTATATGCTAGCATGATCTCAGGAATCCTGATTTATTCAACTGACAGTTTTTTTCCCTTCCCTGTGCCATATGGTGCCCCTAAATGCCTTTTCCTTTCTCCTATCCTAGTTGGTATAAAAGTCAGCAAAATTGTTCCTGACCAGTTAGCACTAGGAAGACATCTTTGGGCCCAGAAATAGCCACTTCCAGCTGATTAGACTTTTGATGATGCATAGTAGAATTACAGACCAGGAAGCCAGCTGAAAGCGGTGCTAATATAGCTCAAAATTGGGACTATACTAGTGAAATAAACTCTCATGTTGCCATTTTTCATACCACATAGCGATCTGACATACAGGCTCGCAATAGCTTGTGCTGAACTGCTGTAAATA